CGTGCCTGTAATCCCAGCTACTTGGGAGGCTGAGGTAGAACTGCTTGAACCGGGACCTGGGAGGTGGAGGTTGCAGTGAGCTGAGATCGTGCGCCAGTGCACTCCAGCCTGGGCTACAGAGGGAGACTCCATCTCAAAAAAAAAAAATTATCTGGGTGTGGTGGTGCCTGCCTGTGGTCCCAGCTACTCAGGAGGCTGAGGTAGGAGGACCAGTTGAGCCCAGGAAGTCGAGGCTGCAGTAAGCTGTGTTCGCAGCGCTGCACTCCAGCCTAGGTAATAGTGTTAGTCAAGTCCCTTCTTTTAGGGAAATTAGCATATGTACATGTTTTCGTGGACACTTTTTCACACTTTGTCTGGGGTACATGCCAGACTGGTGAATCATCCACTTGTGTCAAAAGACATCTTATATGTTTTGCTCTTATGGGTATTCCATCCTCCAGAAAACCTGGTAACGCCCCAGAATATATTAGTCAATCTTTAACAGAATTTTTTACTCAATACATGTAACAGGTATTCCACATAACTCTCAAGGTAAGGCCATTGTAGAGCAAATTAATGTTTCCCTCCAACAGCAGCTACAGAAGCAAAAAGGAGGGGATAAGAAATATCAAACCCCACAAATGCAGTTAAACCTGGCATTGCTGGCTTTGAATTTTTTGAGCTTGCCAAGGGGACGGCAATTAACAGCAGCTGAACAACATTTGATAAAGCAACCCAGGGACGAGAAGTTAGGGCAACTGATCTCGTGGCAGAATCCACTCACAAAAAATTGGGAAAGAGGTAATGTAATAACCTGGGGGAGAGGATTTGCTTGTATTTCTGCAGGTACAAATTAACAACCAGTATGGGCACCATCCAGACATTTAAAGCCATACTATGAGCCAGATACCAAAAAAGAGACAGAGGACGCCCCAGTCACAGAGATGGCGAGACTAACATCAAGGTGGAGTATTGTTCCCACAAGGAGAGTACGCCAAACATCACCACCAACTTGGGGTCAAATTAAAGAAGGTTTCACAGAGAGCAGAGGAAAACCTGAAGAAAGCAGGACAGCCTGTTAATGTAATTATGACGACAGTTATCACGATTAAAGTCAGTATTTCTGGAGTTGAGATAGAAGTAAAGAAAGTTTCACACATTGGACATATATTTTTTCCTTCCTTTACTCATCTCTGGCCTTAGTATTTTCTGTAATAATTTAGGAAATAAAGTAACAATGTTTCAACCATTAAAACCTGAATGCAGATAAAGTAAGGAATGGTCCCCTAAGTTAAAAACATTAATCTGGAGACACTGTGTTGTGATAAAGGCTGAGGTGCTGTGTAACAATTCCTATGAAGTTATTATTGATTATTGGTCCGCTAAGAGGATACTTAGCACTGACTGCACCTGTCAGTCCTCTTGTAGTAACACAGAATCCAGATGGCAGATAAAGAACTACAATTATTTAGAATGTATACATACTGAGATCAACAACTCTATTGCCTGGAGAGATGGGGGATTAATAGACCCACAACCAAAAATAGTATGGACAGTGGTAAGAGCTGAATAAAAAGAACTCTGAATAAAGCCTGTGGCCCTAAAACCAACAAAAGTCTGGGAAGGAAAATATAATAATCAGGCCCTAATTCTTATTAATTAGAAGTTTATAAGAAAAGCTCTTTACATTCAGAGCTGTGTTAAACCCCTCCTATCTTGTGATGAGGAGAGTGTTACAAATTGACTTTATTAACTTTAAAGGTGTAATGAGACTGAACATGATTGGGAGAGAATAAAATATCACCTGGAAAGGCCATTAAGACAGCAATTAAGGAAGAGGGACCCAGAAGAACCTCAAAGCCCCTTTGCAGCAGGAAGCAGTTACAGAAGAATGACCTCTGCCCTCTTTCCCAAAAGATTTCTGGGTCCCAACTCCTTAAGGAAGACATGTAAGAGTAGACAGTTAGCCTCCGAGGTGCTTGAGGGAACTGCTGGTGGACTGGCAGCCATTTGGATGAAAGCACTTGGAGGATCTATGACTGCCGTTGTGATTGTCACTAATCTGTTTTGTTTCTCTTTGCATAGTTCGCAGATGTGGATCCACAATCCTCCAAGAAATGGTTCACCAAGATAGAGCTGTACTTGCTTACCTAACTTTGCTGAAACAAAGAAGGGGGAAGATGTCGAGAAACATTAAGTTTACCCTGCCCTCATGGCTCCCTTGTGGAGAACACCTTTTAGTTTGTAATTACTGGTAAGCTGGTAATAGCTACTTACTTGGAATATTTTTGAGTTATGAGGGAATACATAACACCTGTTTATTAATAATGGTCACCTGTTGAGAGAATAAATAAGTGGATCAGAATCTGCTTGTGGCCTTCAGCCTGGAAAGCTGTCAGCCCCTGAGACTCTCAGCTCGGTAGGCTGCCGGTCCCCCCGGATAGACCCACTTTGGTGTTCTATCTGGGTGTCTGCCTCTCACTGCCTTCAGCACTGCCCGGGTAGAGGTCTCTCGACTGAGCTGGTACTCAGTACAATAGAGCGAGACTGTCTCAAAAACATATAAATAATCTCCATTCTGGCCATAGTGGAGTAAATGGGATCAGACTTATCCTCCCGCTGTTATCAACTAGAAAACCGCGTAACATGTACGAAAAAAGTATTTTCAGATGTTGAGCAAGAGGCAACACAGTTTGCCCCCTAAGAAGGGAAATAAACCAAGTGACACTTACCCTGCTCTGGCTGTCAGCCAGGTCAGCTAGGAGACCCTTTCCAGACCACAGCACAGGGTAAGAGGTTATGCAGAACATGGCAGTGTTGCTGAGTTAAACAGACAGGAAACAAGTTCAGGGAAGGGGAAGCAGCTGGAACTTGCCAGGCAGAGAATCAGAGAGGAAGTTACAAAGAAGAAAGCTTTCAGACCCTCTAGGGTCTGTGTTAATACATTCACATACACAGAGCATAAGACTCTGTAATGCCGAGCAAAGGGTGATCATGAACTATAACAATCTCCAGAGCTCTTGGAGGCCTGGGAAACGTTCTGATCAGCCAGATGGGAGGATCACTGCTGAACACCTAGAGCTCTGAGCACAGACCCCAGAAAAGTCGCAGTAATTGTCTGGCTAAATAGCCTTATAGCAGTGGTTCTCAACAGGTGGCAATTTTATACACCCAAGCCCAAGGATGATGTGGCAGTCTGGAGACATTTTTGGTTGGCAAGAATGATGGCAGGGAAGGGAGTACTACTGACATCCACTGGGAGGAGGCCAAGGATACTGCTAAACATCCTACAATGCAAAGGACAGCATCCACAACAAAGAATTATCAAAATGTCACAGCACTACTGTTGAGAAGCCCTGACTTAAAGCTACTCTAACCCTGCCCCAAAGAAAGCTTAAACAAGCCCTGAAAGAATCAATCTTAACTGCAAGTAACCCAATTGCATGTCAACATTTAAAAAGCAAAAACCACAAAGTCTAGCACTCAACAATGGGAATTCCCAATAGCCACAGCATCTAAAGAAAAATTATTAGACATGTGAAGAAGGAAAACGTGACCCAGAACAAGGATAAAAATGAGTCAAGAGAACAAACCCAGAAAAGACAAAGATGGTGGGAACAGAAAATAAGGATGTTAAGAAAGCTAAAATAAATGCTTACAGGAAACTATGAACATAAGAAAAACATAAGTTATGAAAAAAATATATATAATATCAAAAATGAGGCCGGGCACAGCAGCTCACAGCTGTAATCCCAGGACTTTGGGAGGCTGAGGTGGGAAGATCACTTAAGCCCAGGAGTTTGAGACCTGCCTAGGCCTCAAACTGAAACCCCGTGTCTACAAAAATTTTTTTTAAGTTAGCCAGGCATGGTGGCATAAGCCTGTGGTGCCAGCTACACAGGTGGCTGAGGCAGGAGGACTGCTTGAGCCCAGGAGGTCAAGGCTGCAATGAGCCATGCTCACATCATGGCACTCCAGCCTGGGTGACAGGTTAAGACACTGTCTCAAAAAAAAAAAAAAAAAAAAGAGAGAGCGAGGAGAGAGAGAAACGGAAATTTTACTAGATAACACCATATTAGACACTGCAAAAGAAAAGATCAGTAAATCTAAAGACCTATCCAAGAAATCCCTGTCCATCGACGGGTGAAGGTAAAAACAAGTTACATTTCATCTACTCAGTTGAGTGCTGCTCAGTAACACCCAACCCCAAGACACAAACAGTGCAGAGGAGTCTTACCAGCATCACGCTGTATAAAAGAGAGCACACACGGAAGAGTCCACGCTGCTATGATTCCACTTCCTTGAAATCCTACAGAGGCAAATCTAATCTATAATGAAGAAAGTTATCAGTGGGTGCCTAGGACCAGGATATGGGGGGACTGACTAGAAAGAGTCATGAGGAATCTCTTTGGGCATGATAGAGATGTTCTATTATCTTGATTATGATGGTGGTGGTTATAAGTATGTTTACAGTTGTCAAAATCCCTCAAATTAAATGGATATTCATTTAATGTAAACCACACTTCAATAATGTTGATTATAAGTGAAATTATTTGTGCATTTTTTTTATGTTTTAAAAATAAAAAAGATAGGCCAGGCATGGTGGCTCATACCTGTAATCCCAGCACCTTCGGAGGCTGAGGCAGGCGGCTCACCTGAGGTCAAGTTCGTGACCAGCCTATCCAACATGGTGAAATACAAAATATTTTTGTCTCCACTAAAAACACAAAAAGTAGCCGGGTGTGGTGGCACGCACCTATAATCCCAGCTACTCAGAAGGCTGAGGCAGGAGAACCACTTGAACCTGGGAGGTGGAGGGAGCAGTGAGCCAAGATTGCACTAAGCAATGCAGCCTGGGTGACACAGCGAGACTGCCTCAAAAAAAAGAAAATATATACGTGTGTGTGTGTGTGTGTGTGTGTTTTCTGGAAACCTTAAGAGACAGTACTATACTGGAAAATCATTCATGTTGTATGCAGAGGCGGAATGTCAGAACTAAAGACTCTCTGCCTGATGAAACTCATTTTGCGCAGTGGCAGTACCATAGCCAATGAGGTTTACCTGAAGCATGATTATTGCTAATTGAAACTCAGAGTTGAGCCCCATAAGGATTCCAACTTGCTTTGGCTGAATTCCTTCACTTCAGAAGAAAAAGAAGAAGAAAAAAGAACTCCAACTTGCTGAAAGCAAAAGCAGGCTTTGCATCTCCGCCACTGGACCTGACTAGCTCTAGTTTACTCCTTACTGACTAGTTTCAACTAGCAAGAAAATAAACATCAAGGGTCCCCATTTCTCTGCTATGACCTGGATTTGTTCCAGGTAACTGGAATAACCCTTTACCTCTCTCACACAAGGGCAAGCAAAGTTTTCAATGCAGGATGCATACATCTCACCTGGACCTACAGTCACCTCTGTGGAATGCTTGTTGATAACCTTAATCTTATCACTAAAGCCATTTTCCTCCACAATCTTCACAGCAGCATCAGCCATAGGCTTGAAAACCTAGAAAACAGAGCCAAAACCCAAGGAAAAATGAGCAATAAATTAAACAGTAGTCTGACCTTTAAGGTGAACAAGCTATTCCTTGATTCTGGTCCTAACACGTATAACTTAAAAACTTTATTCTCCAAATGTGCATCATGAAAAAGGGCTGTGAAATTCAGTTGGGTTTAACTTATGGTTAGGGACTCCCATCCCGTGCCAGGCACAGCGGGGCAGCCGGGGATGCCGATGCAGCTGCACTACTTAGTAAGAGCAGTAGGTGTCAGTGCCACACAAGGGGACGCCAAAGAGCTAGGAAAGGAAGTTGCCTCACGAAACTGGGAGGCGTGCTGTGCCCTCCAGAGGAGAGCAAGACTGTTACGTGCCAGGTGTATGTGTGAGCCAGCAGGTCATCCTCTGGGATCAAAACTGTTCCAAATCCCCACTGTTGGCGGAACACAGCCTACATTTTCTTATGATACCGTAGTACCTTTTGTCCATGGGGGATACATCTTTTTTTTTTTGAGACAGAGTTTCGCTCTGTCACCCATGCTGGAGTGCAGTGGCACAATCTTGGCTCACTGCAACTTCCACCTCCTGGGTTCAAGCGACTTTCCTGCCTGAGCTTCCCGAGTAGCTGGAACTATAGGCGTGTGCCACCATGCCCAGTTAATTTTTTTGTATTTTTAGTAGAGACGGGGTTTCACCATGTTAGCCAGGATGGTCTCAATCTCCTGACCTCATGATCTACACACCTCAGCCTCCCAAAGTGCTGGAATTACAGGTGTGAGTCACCATGTCTGACCCATGGGGGATACATTTTAAGACTCCTGCCCGAGGAGGTGGCTCACACCAGTAATCCCAGCACTTTGGGAGGCCGAGACTGACAGATCACAAGGTCAAGAGTTTGAGACCATCAAGCCAACATGGTAAAACCCTGTCCCTACTAAAAATACTAAAATTATCTGGGCATGGTGGTGCCATCTGTAGTCTCAGCTGTTTGGGAGGCTGAGGCAGGAGAACTGCTTGAACCCAGGAGGCAGAGGTTGCAGTGAGCCAAGATTGCGCCACTGCACTCCAGCCTGGCGAGAGAACGAGACTCAAAAACACAAAACAAAACAAAAAAAACTCTTGGTGGATGCTTGAAACTCAGATAATACCTACCGACCCCTATATATACCATTTTCTTTGCTATACATATAATACTGTTCTGTGGTGGGCACCTCTATGCAAACCTACCCCAAGAGGCCACAGAAGCTCAGAGGTTGAGGAAAGAGAATGGCAAACCCAGCTTCTTAGAAAGACACATTTTATAGGGACTTACAAACGGAAGCTTTGTCTCGAGCAGTGGGACACTGGGCCCCCACACTGTTACGGCTCAGACGCAGAGCTTACATACCACAGGGAATTTAAGGGCAGGATTTATGGTAAGTATGTATTTATGATAACATCAAAGTTGTTCTGACCTCAGGGCAGGATTTACATCAAAGTGCATGAGAGCAGAAATTTTAGAGGCATTCGTGAAGCTGGGGTTGGCGAGAAGTCGGCATGGAAGATTAGCATTCACGGTGGAGCTGCTTTAGCTTCCAAGCTTACCTATGACCATGTTTAATTTATAAAGTAGGCCCAGTAAGAGATTAACAGTCATAATTAAAAATAGAACAGTGATGTAATAATACTCAGAATGGCACACAATTTACAACTTATAAATAATTTCTGGAATTTCCCATTTAATTTTTTTTTTTTTTTTTTTGAGAAGGATCTCACTCTGTTGTCCAGGCTGGAATGCAGTGGTGTGACCTCAGCTCACTACAACCTTTGCCTCCTGGGTTCAAGCGATTCTCCTGCCTCAGCCTCCAGAGTAGCTGGGATTACAGGTGCGTGCCACCATGCCTAGCTAATTTTTTTGTATTTTTAGTAGACATGGGGTCTCACCAAGTTGGCCAGGCTGGTCTTGAACTGCTGACCTCGTGATCCACTGGTCTCGGCCTCCCAAAGTGCTAGGATTACAAGCATGAGCCGCGGCACCTTGCCTGTTTTGATTTTTTTTGAGATAAAGTCTTACTCTGTCACCCTGGCTGGAGTGTGGGGGTATGTATTTAAATACTTTCCCCTATAAAACTGAGTTCATATAGTGATTAGTAAGAAAAACAAAGTCCGAAAATAACTGGCTTAAACAAGGCAGAAGTAATTTTTTGCCTTCTCATATAAAGTCCAAATCATGGCTCACTGCAGCCTTGACCTTCCAGGCTCAAGAGATTGTCCCACCTCAGCATCAAGAACAGCTGGAACACAGGCACATGCCACCATGCCCAGCTAATATTTATAAGTTTTTCTGTGAAGATGGGATCTCACTATGTTGCCCAGGCTGGTCTCAAACTCCTGGGCTCAAGCAATTCTCTTTCCTTGGCCTCCCAAAGTGTTGGGATTACAGGTGTCAGCACTGCGCCCAGCCTGTAAGTATTTTCTAAAGCTCCTAGTGATTCTGATGTGCAGCCCAGGCTGACAGAGTAGAAAACTAGCTCCTGGAGGAAGGAACTGTGTCTGACTCATCTCTATATGCTCAGAGCCTGGCTCTGTACTTGGCACACAGTGAGCACTCCATGAATGTTTGTGAAGGAACAGATGGGGAAAGTGCAAGAGCACAGGTGATTTCCCATGCAAGATGCAGGACACACAACTGAAGGGGGTGGCTTACCTCGATAGCATAGCAGAAGTCGGCGCCTGCTCTAACTGCCATCATTGACAAGAGTCCCGTGCCAGTGCCAATGTCAAGAACCAAGGCCTTCTGTCCTCTGTCCTTCACCCTGCTCACGGCAGCCCGGATACCTTGGTAGTACTTTACATTCTAAGAAGAAAGGAAGAAATGGCTGTCACTTACTACCAGTTATTCTAAGTAGAAAGGTGCTCTGTAAAGTTCTAGAGTCACAGCTGGCAGCAGCAGTGCAAGTCAGAACCCTATGGCCTTTCTGGACCCTGGCAGAACAGCACTGGCTATTAGGCAGGCCTTGTGAGTCAGCCTTGCCCATTATTAAGTGACTGTCCCTGCCCGTTATTAAGTGGCTGTCCCTGCTCTACACTCTACTCTACCCCTTGCCCATTATTAAGTGACTGTCCCTGCTCTACACTCACTCTTCTACACTCTAAGTGATGCCAGAGTCCTACAAACCATGTTCTCCTTTTTCCAGCTGTTAGGTACAGCCAAGAGGGGGACCAACAGGGCGACTGTAAGGTAGGAGGACAGAGAAGGCTTCCTCCTTTCTGCAGGCTGCTGCTTTCATCAGGGTACTCTCGGTAGGGGCAGTTGATTGCAGACTCCAGCTTCTCCCAGTGATCCTATAACCAGCTCCTTGGACAGCCCCACAGAGGTACAGCTGCACAGGACCTCTCCTCAATGCTTATGGCTTCTGGAAACCCTAATCTTCTCGTTTAGTTTCTCAGCCCTAGGCAAGGTAACTGCTCCCTGCAATCTCTACTGCTAGGTTAAAGCATTTTCCCATTTGCTTTCTAGCCCTCCCATAAAGCCCCTCTGCTGCAGTATGTAACGTGGCTTCGGTTTTCCTTTACCAACTCTAACCCAGAGAGCTTCCTTGTCTAAAAAGTATTTTCCCCTTCAGGAAATCTTTGCATCTTGAAGACTTTTAGTTCTGGTCTTTAGTAATGTAAACAGATACATCTTTTAACAGTCTGACTCAATAGGCACGATGACCCTTCTGTTGAAAATAGCTAAAAATAATGGAAAAAATACATGCAAATCTTTTAAACAGACTGATGACCTGCCAAATTAGTAAGAAATATTAAGAGGCTATTAAAATTTAAGATAATGTGTTAAGTAACAATAGACAACTAATAAAGAATTGGTATCACACAAGCAATATTCTCTTACCACAGTGCAAAACAAGTTAGAAATCTTAATAACAGAAATACAACCAAAGAAAAAAATGTTTTGATCATTGAGAAGTACACTTCTAAACTCACAGGCAAAAGACTAAACTAGATTGGAATTAGAAAATATCTACAACTGAATATTCTTTAAAATTACCTGGCCGGGTGCAGTGACTCACACCTGTAAACCCAGCACTTTGGGAGGCCAAGGCGGGTGGATCTCCCAAGGCCAGGAGTTTGAGACCAGCCTGGCTAACATGGTGAAACCCCTGTCTCTACTGAAAATACAAAGACTTAGCCGGGCATAGTGCTGCACACCTATAATCCCAGCTGCTCAGGAGGCTGAGATGGGAGAACAATTTTTTTAAGATAAAAAAAATGATAAGCAGTATCCTCAACTGTAAACCAGGGATGGCACAGCCTTCACTTTAAGGATGCCATTAAATTAGTTGTCATTTTTCAATGACTCAGTTTTGAAGATACTACAGTGAAACTGGAACCCTTTTTGAAGGCATGTGGCAGTATCTATCAAGAATCATACCATGTTCATAACCCTAGACTATACCAAAGATATACGCATGGTAAATAAGCACATGAAAAGATATTTGATGGCTGGGTGCTTTGGCTCACACCTGTAATCCCAGCATTTTGGGAGGTCGAGGCAGGTGGATCACTTGACCTCATAAGTTCAAGACCAGCCTGGGCAATACAGCGAAACCCCATCTCTACAAAAAATACAAAAACTAGCCAGGCGTGGTGGTGTGCATGTAATCGCAGCTGCTGGGAAGGCTGAGGTTGGAGGATTGCTTAAGGCCAGGAAGTCAAGGCCATAGTGGAGCTGAGATCACACTACTGCACTGGATGGTAGACCCTGTCTCAAAAATATAAAATTAAATTATAATTAAAAATAAAAATTAAAACTACAATGAAGGCCAGGCACGGTGGTACGTGCCTGTGATCCCATCTACTTGGGAGGCTGAGGCAGGAGAACTGCTTGAACCTGGGAGGCGGAGGTTGCAGTGAGCCAAGATCTCGCCACTGCACTCCAGCCTGGGCGACAGAGCAAGACTCCATCTCAGAAAAAAAAAAATTTAGTTCACAGAAGCCCAGACAATGGTTGCTGCTGAGGGAGAGGAGAGGTATTGATTAGAGGATCTGATGCTTCAGTTAGACAGGATGAATAAGTTCTGGAGATCTACTGTACAGCATGGTGAGCTATAGTTAATAATGCACACTTAAAAATTAGTAAGTGAGGCCAGGAGTGGTGGCTCATGTCTGTAATCCAAGCACTTTGGTAGGCCAAGGTGGGCAGATCACCTGAGGTCAGAAGTTCAGGACCACCCTGACAAACATGGTGAAACCCCATCTCTACCAAAAACACAAAATTAGCTGGGCGTGGTGGCACATGCCTATAATCCTAGCTACTCGGGAGGCTGAGGCAGCAGAGTCCCTTGAACCTGGGAGGCAGAGGTTGTGGTGAGCCGAGATCGAGCCACTGCACTCCAGCCTGGGCAACAAGAGCAAAACTCCCTCTCAAAAACAAACAAAAAATTACTAAGTGAAGCTGAGCGATGTGGCTCATGCCTATAATCCCAGCACTTTGGGAGGCCGAGCTGGGTGGATCATGAGGTCAAGAGATCAAGACCATCCTGGCAACACAGTGAAACCTTGTCTCTGTAAAAAATACAAAAATTTATAGCTGAGTGTGGTGGCACACACCTGTAGTCCCAGCTACTCTGGAGGCTGAGGCAGAATTGCTTGAACCTGGGAGACAGAAGTTGCAGTGAGCCGAGACTGCACCACTGCACTCCAGCCTGGTAACAGAGTGAGACTCTGTCTCAAAAAAAAAATTACTGAGTATATCTTAAATATTCTCACCACGCACAATAAAGTATGAGGTGACAGATATGTTAATTAGCTTGATTTAATCATTTACACCATATACATATATTCATCACATTGTATATCATAAACACACACAATTTTTATTTGTCAATTCTATCCTGATAAAGCTGAGAGATTTTTAAAAAAACAGAGTCAGAAGTAGGACTCAGCCTCCCAACTGATTTCCTGACCACTACACCATACTGCCTCTCTGTATCATTTTAACATCATGACTCCCAGGGATTTTTAACCTTCTTGTAATCCAAGAATTCAAAACACCCCATATCAAGAGAATAGTTTCCTTTAACACTTACTCTGTCTTTGTCATGTAGCATATCTGCATAGGATGACCTAAAAAACAAAAAATGACAGGTAACCTTTACATGATACACATCAACACATGAAAGTATTCATACATACCTAAACAGAACAAACGCGTCATGTATTTTAAAGTATTTTTGGGTTTCCATGCCTCAGCCTCCCAGGTAGCTGGGATTATAGGCACTTGCCACTATGCCTGGCTAATTTTTGTATTTTCAGTAGAGATGGGGTTTCACCATGTTGTCCAGGCTGATCTCGAATTCCTGACCTCAAGTGATCAACCTGCCTCGGCCTCTCCAAGTGCTGGGATAACAGGCATGAGCCACTGTGCCTGGCCTCTTTTTTTTTTTTTTTTTTTTTTAGAAACACGGTCTCGCTATGTCAACCAGGCTGGAGTGCAGTGGCTATGAACAGCCTCAATCACTGAGCACCGCAGTCTTGAACTCCTTAGCCCAAGAGAACCTCTTGCCTCAGCTCTGAAACAGCTAGAACTACAAGCATCCATCACTGCACCTGGCCATTTTATTTTAATAGTTTTAAGATGTTATTGTCTAGTGCTGTAGAAAAAAAGTCTCAGAGAAAAATGTTCTCAGACCTAAATATGCTCCAGTAGTCAACCCTGTCACGGTAATTCCACAGCCACTAGCATCCTGATCTTGTTATATATTTTCCTCCTCAGGAAAAACTCAGACTCAGTCTGCCTAATACTTGACCTAACCTTGCATACATCTGTGCCTGCAGATAACTACTGATGCTAACATTAAGGAGAACAGCTGAGGAAAGAGAAGCACTCTCACACACCCACTGTGTATGTGACAGGTATCCCACTGGGCATGTTCACTTATCATCATCAGGGAAAACTAGGAGTTCACCAATACTGTACTAAAGGGAGGAGAGTCACTTTTCCATATTTCCTACTACAGTAATTCACACATCTGAAAACCCTCAGGCAGGGTCTGGATGAGCACCCAGAACTAGGTAGGCCCTCCCATGCTTTCTGGGAATTGCAGGGGACAGCTAAGGAACTCACACTAAAACAGAGGCCCTCCAGGCCTGGGTCAACACCAGAATCACTAGAAAGCTTATTTGAAACACAGAGCCCCAGAACACGAACAGGCGCGCGCGTACATGAGTGTGTGTGTACACACACACACACACACACACACACCCCACACAATCTCTCTCTCTCTCTCTGATCAAGAAGACTGGACTAATGTGCTCCAGGCAATTGCACCACGAGGTCCACCTCATTCTTTCAGTGTACCATTCCTCAAAGTGTGGAATGTGGACCGCCTGTGGCACAATTGCCTGGAGCATATTAGCAGCCTTCTGGGGTGGGGGGGGAAGAGTGTGTATGTGTGTAAGAACGAGGTTCTTGCTAGGCACGTTGGCTCACGCCTGTAATCCCAGCACTTTGGGAGGCAGAGGCAAGCAAATCACCTGAGGCCAGGAGTTCGATACCAGCCTGGCCAACAAGGCAAAATGTTGTCACTACCATACTACAAAAATTAGCTGGGCATGGTGGCACACACCTGTAATCCTGGCAAAAAAACAAAAAGAAAACCAAAAAAAGCACGAGATTCTTTTGTTCTCATGGCACATTAAGGCTTTTTTATCTGAAGCCAGCTAAAGATGCATAACTGAAATGTAGTCCTTTCTACCTCTGCCCAGTTTTTATTTTATTTATTTTTCTGAGATGGAGTCTCACTCTGTAGTACAGGCTGGAGTGCAGTGGAGCGATCTCGGCTCACTGCAACCTCTGCCTCCCAGTAGTTCAAGCAATTCTCCTGCCTCAGCCTCCCCAGTAGCTGGGATTACAGGCACATGCCACTACAACTGGCTGAATTTTGTATTTTTAGTAGAGACAGGGTTTCACCACATTGGTCAGGCTGGTCTTAAACTCCTGACCTCATGATCCACCCGCCTCAGTCTCTCAATGTGCTAGGATTACAGGTGTGAGCTACCGAGACTGGCCTGGACGTTATTTTCTGAGTGACTGAGATACTAAACAGGAGAGAAAAGATTGGATTATGTTTTGGAACACTCACCAAGAGCAGTGTGGGAGAGAGCTGGAAGAGAAGAGAGCTGGGGATATTGCAGTCTCAGAGCAGAGGCAGCAGAGGAGGAGAGGAGACAGCTCAGGAGAGCTTGAGTTTGGTAACTCACTAGATGTGATGGAGGGAGAGAGAAGATTCAAGAAGCAACAAGACTTCTGGTTAGAATGACAAAGTAGATGGGGAGGCAAGGGAGAACCCAGGAGGAATGTGTGGTATGGGGGAGAGGAACACGATGGTGATTAGGTGTTTCAGTTTGGACATCCACATAGAGCTGCCAATGACAGGTAGAATTTTGGGTCTGGAGACAGAATTTGCAGTTGTTAGAATTGAAACCAGGAGAGGTTGCAGTCTCTCAATGGGGTGTGGAATGCGAAAGGTAGAGGGCTGAAGAAGGAATCCTGGAATAGCTAAGGAGGCAAAAGGAGAAGGGTGGGAGAGATGGCCAGTGTGGAAAGGAAGAAGGGAGTGTCCAGCAGGGTCAGAGGCACTGGGAAGTCCTGGATGCTAATGACTGACATCAGCTGCAGGAGTGAGCAGGTAGTGGTTACTGAGTGATGTCAACAGGTGAAACCCCATCTCTACAAAAATTAGCCAGGCATGGTGGAAACTGTTTGTAATCCCAGCTACCCAGGAGGCTGAGGCAGGAAAATCACTTGAACCTGGGAGGCGGAGCCTGCACTGAACTGAGACAATGCCACTGTACTCCAGGCTGGGCAACAGAGCAAGACTCTGTCTCAACAACAAAACAAGAAAATAAAGTCCAAAATGTTTAGAAATATTTTAAGTGGCCATACGCTGTAGCTCATACCTGTAATCCCAGCACTTTGGGAGGCCCAGGCGGGCAGATGACAAGGTCAGGAGATCAAGACCATCCTGGCCAACATAGTGAAACCTCATCTCTAATAAAAATTAGCTGGGCGTGGTGGCGCGCACCTGTAATCCCAGCTACTCAGGAGGCTGAAGCAGCCTCCAAATCGCTTGACGCAGGGAGTCAGAGGTCGCAGTGAACCGAGAATGCACTAATGCACTCCAGCCTGATGACAGATCGAGACTCCATCTCAAAAAAAAAAAAAGAGAAATATTTTAAGCTCTTACTCTGTACCAGACACTATATTACCTTTAATCATTAATTGTATAATACTGTGAGATAATGTGTTATTATATTGAAGTACATATTATTTTATATTAAGGCTCAGAGAAGTAACTTGGCCAAGAGTAGAGAAATGGCAGAGCTTGGACTTAAACTCACGTTCCTCTTCCTGCATTTTGCTACCACCCTTTACAAAATGACCCTGCCTACGATTTCAGCAGCCTCTCTCTCTTACCATAACCCTACTTTTGTACCACACTCCAGCCATGCTAAACTGCTACCTGCTCCCCAAACTGCCCCATCTGTTTTTGGTGTTTTTTTCTGTTTTTTTTTTTTTTTTTTTTTTTGTGAGACAGCGTCTTACTGTGTTGCCCAGGCTGGACGTAAACTCTTGGGAACAAGCAATCCTCCTGCCTTGGCCTCCCAAGTGGCTGGGACTACCGGTGTGGGCCACTGCACACAGCCACAAACTGGCTCATCTGAAATCTTACATGGAATCCCTGCTGCTCAGACTTAAACTTCTCGTCCTTTAGAATTGAGAAATTATTCAAACATCACCTCACCTCCCAAGTTTAGCTGGTTCTTGTTGCTTCCATGACCTTTTGTGCCCATTCACACCTTTATCTCACTACACCGTAAAAAAAAAATTTTTTTTTTTTGAGACAGTCTCACTCTGTTACCCGGGCTAGAGTGCAGTGGCACAATCTTGGGCTTATTGCAACCTCCACCTCTCAAGTTCAAGTGATTCCCCTGCCTCAGCCTCCCAAGTAGCTGGGATGACAGGCACGTGCCACTACGCACAGCTAATTTTTGTATTTTTATTAGAGACGAGGTTTCACCATGTTGGCCAGGATGGTCTTGATCTCCTGACCTTGTGATCTGCCCACTGTAAGCTCCCAAAGTATTAGCTGGGATTATAGGCATGAGCCACCTTGCCCAGCCTTTATAATGTAATTCTTTTTTTTTTTTTGAGATGAAGTCTCACTCTGTCTCCCAGGCTGGAATACAGTGGCACAATCTCAGCTTACTACAGCCTCCGCCTCCCAGGTTCAAGGGATTCCCCTGCCTCAGCATCCCAAGTAGCTGGGGTTACAGAGCACCCGCCACTATGCCCAGCTAATTTTTGTATTTTTAGTAGAGATGGGGCTTCACATATTGGCCAAGCTGGTTTTGAACTCCTGACCTTGTGATCCACCCACCTCAGCCTCCCAAAGTGCTGGGATTACAGGCAAAAGCCAATGTGCCTGGCCTGTGCTGTAATTTTTTATGTGCCTGTCTTCCACAAAACTGCACGGTCCTTGAAGATGAGAACAGGATCTTCTTCATCTTGGTATCCACAGCCTTAGCACAGTGATAGCACGCCAAATGCACTTAACGATTGCTACATAACAACTCACATACTTTTAAATGTTTCTTCTAAGGGGCAAAAAAGTATTTTTGGCTGGGCACAGTGGCTCATGCCTATAATCCCAGCACTTTGGGAGGCCAAGGTGGACAGATCACCTACGTTCAGAAGTTTGAGACCAGCCTGGCCAACATGGTGAAACCCCATCTCTACTAAAAACACAAAAGATTTCCATGGATCATATCCTTAAAAAAAAAAAGAAAAAACACACACAAAAGATTAGCCAGGCATGGTGGCAGGCGCCTGTAATTCTAGCTACTCAGGAGGCTGAGACAGGAAAATTGCTTGAACCCGGGAGGTAGAGGTTGCAGTGAGCTGAGACTGCACATCACTCCAGCCTGGGCAACAGAGCAAGGCTCAGTCTCAATTTAAAAAAAAAAAAGGCATTTTCATTCTTTTCATTCAAAAGAACTTAACCATATGATAATGAACATGTCACCATTTCAGTGAGGCAAGTAAATGATTCAACTTCATCAACACTACTACAACTTGGGCTTCCTTTGCTCCACTAAACAGATGCTGAGGCTCTATTAAGGCTGCTACAAAATGTCTGAAGCTCCAAACAGGCATGACTTTGCCTAACTGCCACATATACCTACCTGGCTGAGCAGATTTGCTCAGGACCAACACCCAGCCCTCATCATAAACACTGGGTTAGAGCCCAGCCCATGCTCAGATTGGATCCCAAGGCATCTGCTTTGGGATCAAGTGCCCCACCCCAGTGCAGCCTGCTGTAAACCAACCCAGTACCTTGCAATCTCCTGGTGGTAATCGTAGTGTTCATCCTCCTCCACCCACTCCACGGACCCTGTGGTCGGATTCGCCCGACTACAAAAGATCTTCATGATGCCCATCAGCTCCCAGTTTTTGCACAGAAAAGCAGCCTCACCAGTTCCTGTGGACAAGTCTGATGGTCAGAAACCTATTAACATCAGAAGGAAACAGGAGGTATATAAATAAACAAATATTAAAAAAAAATCTATTAACAACATAATGCCCCGAAATGTGGAAGGGGAAGGAGAGACAAAAAGGGGGGAAAAATCAAGAAATTGACAGAAATTTCAAAGCCACTGACAGTATTTGTTAATCAATATTTAAATGTTTTCAGCAGGAGTCACTTAGTTTTATATTCAGCCTATAACATTAAAAAACTGCAACAGATTCGTACAGAGGTCTGGAAACTTCAGCAGGCCTCAGTGCTTCCAAAAGGGTCCAATGAACCTCACAGGTTCATCTAGGTACAGCCCTCAAGGCTAGGAAGAGGAGAAGAGATGGATGGTGGTAAAGAAGTGCCACCCATACTGCCTTAGCATACTGAACACTTAGCTTAAGGAAAAATATGAAGATAAAGCAAGTCAAACCAGGAAACTTTCATGTAAACAATAAATCGCAGTCACATGTAAACCTAAAAATGGATAATCCCTGGAATATAATGATGAGCAAAAACAGCAAATCACACCACATATGCAATATGATTCCATTTCTATAAAATTTATAGCTATGCAAAATGGAATAATACATTCTTCAGAGATCACACTAAAAAGCATAGTAGGGAATCAGGATAGTTCATGTCTAAGAGACAAGGGAAAGAGATGGGATCAAGGAGAGGTACACAGTAGACTTCAAAAGTATTGTTCTTTTTCTTAAATTGGGCGGTGGAAACACGTATGTTCATATTAGCATTCTTTTTACTTTTTTTTTTTTTAAAGAGATGGGGTCTGGTTATGTTGCCCAGGCTGGACTCAAACTCCTGGGCTCAAACATTCTTTCTGCCTCAGCCACCCCTGTAGCTGGGATTACAAGTGAGTGCTCCACACCCAGCTAATATGAGCATTTTTTATGCTTCATTTTTTTTTAGTGATTACTTCTTATCTATTCAAATTTTAAGAACAATTTTTAAAATCCTTTCTCCATCTAAAAAAAATTTTGCTTCAAATAAATAAAATGTCACCAGATTCACATCTTCTATGGCCTGTCTCCCCAAAAGATCTATTTCTGGGAAGCAGAGAAACACCACCCACCACTCAAAGTCTAAAGGCACTCCTCTGCAGGTGTGGGCTCTCCCAACACCCACCCCCTTACCATTCAGAAAACAATAGGTGTTCTACACTGCCCTTCCTTTCTTGTTAAACACTGGTGCATCCTCAGGAAACCTTAGAAAGAATGCCTACTCTAAACTTTCCTATGGCTTTTTATTGGCCAGAGTTTTTTTCTTTTGAAATTATCTAGAGTAAATGAACATGGAATTCTTACACAAATAGATGAGAAACAGGCTGGGTGTGGTGGCTCACACCTGCAATCCCAGAGCTTTGGGAGGCCAAGGCAGGCGCATCACCTGAAGTCAGGAGTTCCAAGACCAGCCTGGCCAATAAGGTGAAACCCCCGTCTCTACTAAAAATACAAAAATTGGCTAGGCATGGTGGCGCGCGTCTGAATTCCCAGCTACTCAGGAGGCTGAGGCAGGAGAATTGCTTGAACCTGGGAGGCAAAGGTTGCAGTGAGCCGAGATCACACCACCGCACTCTATCCTGAGCGATGGAGTAAGACTCTGTCCAAAAAACAAACAAAAAAAGCAAATAGATGAGAAACAATCTTCCCTGAACAAACACAGGCAGGTCACTGACCTGGTTCAAAGTAGACAATCTGTCCAGGTCAAACTCTCCTTCTAAAACCCCGGCATACCTATCTCCTAGTCTAATGGCTTTCAAACTTTCTGACAACCCCAGTAAGAAATATACTTTACAATCAGACTCAATACATACACCTGCATATACGCATATAACTAAAAGTTCCACAAAATCATACTGATTTCCTATGAACAAGGCCCTCTGATACGCTCTATTTCATTTTCACTGTTTTTAAGAGATGGAATCTCCCTGCTGTCCAGGCTGGAGCACAGTGGCTATTCACAGGCATGATCATCCCACTGAACTACAGCCTTGAACTCCTAGACTCAAGCAATCCTCCTACATCAGCATGCACCACGGTACCCAGCTTCACCTTTACTTGCTGGTCAGGACCCACCAATGGGTGGCAACCTGCAGCCTAACAGCACTGCTATAATCCACTCTATCTCATGTACTAACACTTATTTGGCAGATAGAATGTCTAGAACTATCAGAATCTGTAATGTGCATTAGAAAACTGTGTCCAACAAATGCTGGAGAAAGAAATGGCCATTTCTGGCTGAATGTTCAGGGAAGACTTAAAAGGTGGATTCGACTGAGGCAGGAGGAGAAGCGGGGTATGTGGAGGGAGAAGGCATTTCATCTGATTAGAAAGACTTGGATAATCATGCACATTGAATCAATCAGTTTGGCTGAAGGAAAACTGAATCAGGTGTCAAACATGTCAATAGGATCCATATGGTGGAGTCCTGAAATACTAATCCTGTGGTCCAGGTGGAATTACTTCTGAAGTCACTTAAAGGTTAAGAGTGATCCTTTTGTAGTTCAAAAGCGTGATGACAGGGTGTTCACGCACCTGTGTCAGATGTGCCTCCCACAAACTTTTACCTATCTGAAGTGGAAAAAAAGAAAAACCAGTAAAAAAAACTTTAGGCCAGGCACTATGGCTCACGCCTGTAATCCTAGCACTTTGGGAGGCCAAGGTGGGTGGATCACCTGAGGTCAGGAGTTCAAGACCAGCCTGGCCATCATAGTGAAACCCCATCTTTAAAAAAAAAAATTTAATCCATAGAATTCCTTTCTTGTCTGTGATGCTGCTGAGTCTAAAACCAGGACAACAGTGTCTTTTCAAAACCTGGAAACCGGTTAGGTGGTGGCTCAGGCCTGTAATCCCAGCACTTTGGGAGACCGAGGCGGGTGGATCACCTGAGGCCAGGAGTTCAAAGACCAGCCTGGCCAACATGGCGAAACCCCGTCTCTACTAAAAATACAAAAAATTAGCTGGGGCATGGTGGCACGAACCTGTAATCCCTGCTACTTGGGGAGGCTGAGGCAGGAGAATCGCTTCAACCTGGGAGGAGGAGGTTGCAGTGAGCCAAGATCATGCCACTGCACTCCAGCCTGGGCTATGGAGCAAGACTGTCTCAAAACAAACAAAACAAAAAGCAAACAAACCTGGAACTATGTCTTGTGTTAACAATTTTATGAAGGCATGAACCTCTTCTGGTGGGCACTACACACCTTATATGGCTAAATGCCTTCATCCATTATTATTTGTCCTCTCCCAGAAGGAGCCTACACTAGATTCAGGGGATATTCTCTGAACCCCTCCTCATTCTCCAAGAATTGCAAACTCACATGGTCATTTACAAGGAGGAAATAGAAACCATCATGCCAAGCCCTAATTGTATTACTAGTCAGACTGCAGAGCAGATAGTCCATTCAATCATTCAAAATGTATTTGCTAGGGGGTGGTGGCTCACACCTGCGATCCCAGCACTTTGGGAGGCCTAGGTGCAAGATCTCTTCAGTCTGACCGTTCCAGACCAGCCTGCACGACAGAGCGAGACCCCGTTCTCTACAAAAAATAAAAAAATTAGCTGGGCATGGTGGCGCATGCCTGTAATCCCAGCTACTCAAGAGGCTGAGGCAGGAGAATTGCTTGAACCCAGGAGGCGGAGGTTGCGGTGAGCCGAGATCGCGCCATTGCACTCCAGCCTGGGTAACAAGAGCAAAACTCCGTCTCAAAAAAAAAAAAAAAAAAAAATTAATTAGGCCAAATGACCTGTGCCTGTAGTACCAGTTACTCCCAGCTACTCAGGAGGCTGAGGTAGGAGAATCACTAGAGCCTGGAAGGCAGAGGTTTCAGTGAGCCCAGATGGCGCCAGTAAACTCCAGCCTGGGTGACAGAGTGAGCCCGTCTTAAAAAAAAAAAAAAAAATATATATATATATATATATATATACACACACACACACACACACACACACACACGCATATATTAAAATTAAGTAAGCATATATTAAAATTAATAATTAGCCGAGTGTAGTGGCGCGTGCTTGTAGTCTCAGCTACTCGGGAGGCCGAGGTGAGAGGATCGCTTGAGCCCAGGAGGTCAAGGCTGCAGTGAGCCTTGATCACACCACTGCACTCAGCCTAGGCAGCAAAGTGAGAGTGTGTCTCAAAAAAATAACTAAATTTATTAAATACCGTCTATGTTCCAGGCACTGTATTAGGGACTGGAGCCACCACCACAAACTAGAGAGCTTAGACTCTAATGACAGAGTAACACAAATTACAGACTACATGAATGCAAGAAATACACAGAGCGCTGTAGAGAGTGAACACCAAGGTTACAGAACTCTGAGGAAGGTAGCATTTGAGACTTACAAGACAGACCAGGATAAAAGCTGGGGAAGAGGTTTTACACGTCACGAATCCTTACCCCAACTTTCCCAAGAGAAACCCCTTAGGTAGAAAGAATAGGTGCATAAGCAAAATGTGCCAAAAGCCTGTGCGACCGAAGCACTTTTGCAGAAGCCCACTCCTCATCTCCTATCGCAACTTCTGCTCAATCAAGCTGGGCCTTCCTTGTCCACTTCCGAAAGGCGTTCGGATTTTGTTCTAAAAGCAGTGGGAGCCACTCAAGGGTTTTAAGCAGAACCATATCCACACTGGGTGTATGCTTTTACAGGACCACTCCAGCTGGCGTGTAGTGAATACACGCCTCTCCAGTTACTCAGAACACAGTGAGTGGGAAAGATATCAGCAGGTCGGTCAGAGAACCGTGGCCCAGTTAGGGGGTGCGATGCTTGGAGCTACTGCGGTCTCTAGCTGAGAAGCGGCGCCAGTCACAAGTACTGCGACCCAGCCCCGCAAGCGGCAAGCACCCGACTGGACTGCAGAGCCGGGGGTCAGCTTGGAACCTCGCTCCCCTGCAGGTCAGGGTGCTCCGACTCTCCCCACTCGGACTCTAGAAAAGTCCCTAGAGTCCAAGTACGCCCACGCCAGGCTCCTTTGCCGAAGCCCTGGTGCTGATGACATGATGCTGGCTGCACCCCGAACTCCAAAGCGACTCCATCTTCCCAGCACACCCAGCGCCTCACCCGCCGCGGAAACTCCTCAGCTCGCCTCCGCTGCTATCACCATTTTGCCAAGGCCAGCGCACGAAGCGAGACCTCGGCTACGCGCGAGAACTGTGCGGGGCACCGGTCCCAAGGCGGAACTGGAAGGCAATCCCATCGCACCCCGCGCGTTCCCACAGTGCTCCGCGGCAGTCACTATGGAGGCCGGCAGGACGGCTGTGCTCCGGGTAAAGCGGAAGCGCAGTGCGGAGCCTGCCGAGGCTCTTGTGCTCGCCTGTAAACGCCTCCGTAGCGACGCGGTCGAGTCGGCGGCCCAGAAGACGCCACAGGGTCTGGAGAGAGCAGCCGAGAATAATGTCTTCCAGTTGGTGGCCACTGTATGCTCCCAGGTATTCGGCGTGGTGCAGCTGGTGGGGCATCTTAGGGTGCAGCCGGGCCGAAACCGGATCCCTGACTCGATCACGAACCCCTGCTTATACCGACCTCCCTTCTCTGTTACCCCCTAGGAGGAGCCAGTCCAGCCGCTCCTGCGGGCAGCTTTGCGCCCGTCACTGGACAGCCAGCAACGTGTCCGCCGCAATCTCCGCGCCTCGGCTCGGGAGATCCGGCAGGAAGGCCGCTACCAGGTGGTCTCCAGCCGCCGATCCTCGAGGACCACCTCGAGCGGCCAGGAGTCCGAGTACACGTCGGGGAACCCAGAAGTCTCCGGGGACTCGGGCTTTCAGCTGTTAGACCTTGTCCACGAGGAGGGAGAACCTGAAGCCGCCGCTGCGGCCTCCTGCAAAGTGAGTACGCCCCTGAAGGTGGCCGCTGGGATTCTCAGGACCGTAATGCCAGGAGACTGGGCCCAATAGCAGCACACAGCTTCATCTTAAGGGGATGGATGATCCATCCGGCGTGACGGCTTCATTTTACACATTGGGCTATTCATCCAACGTGTGTACTACGTTCCTACTATGTTCCAGGTATTTTTTTTTTTTTTAGATTCTGTGGATACAGCAGTGAGGACCTAACATGCAGGTGGAGAGAAACAGTAAACGAGTCAATTCAGTGTCAGATGGTGATAAGGGATGTAAGGAGGCGGGGAGACAAAGCAGGAAGAGTGGTATCACTTCAGTGAGAGTGTCACTGAGAAAATAACATTTGAGTGAAGACTTGCAGATGAATGGCAGGGCTTTGCAGATTCCGAGAGGACTCATAGGCAGAGAACCTGAAAGTAAAGAGGTCCTGAAGCCGAGTTTCCCTGCTGCTTGCAAGGTGCCCCCGGAGCCCAGTGAGCTAGAGGAGAGCAGTAAGGAATTTGAGGGAGGAGGCCTGCTAGACTGTCTAAGTATCTGTAAGGACGTTGCCTTTCACCCTGACTGAGACGGGAATTACTGGAGCAAAGTAGAGACAGAGCAAGTAGGAAAACTGATCAAAGAGAGGTTAAAGGACTCGTCCTGGTTAGCGTATCAAGTTTGAGGTAGATTTAGGTCTACATTGCAAGTCTTCTCACATTTAATCCAGTGCTTTTCTTTACTACATTACATTTGCTAAATTCATTTGCACTCACTTTTTAAAAAAGTTTTACTGCATGCACCAAAACCATAAAAATAGAAAATTCGCCTGAGGCTGGGCATCGTAGCTGATGTCTGTGATCCCAGCATGTTGGGAGGCCCAGATGGGAGGATCACCTGAGCCTGGGGAGGTCAGCGCTACATTGAGCCGTGACTGTGCGCAGTGGCATTTCAGCCTAGGCGATAGAGTGAGACCCTATCTCCAAAAAAAAAAAAAGATGAAAGAAAGAGAGGACAGAAAGAAAGAAAATAAATTGTGTAATCCCAGTGGGAGGCTGAGGCAGGAGGGTTACTTGAGACCAGCCTGGGCAACAAAGCAAGACCTTGTCACTACAAAAAGGAAAAGGAAATTAGCTGGGCATGGCGGCATCTGCTTGCAGTCCTAGCTACTGGGGAGGTTGGGGCAGGAGGATCACTTGAGCTCAGGAATTAGAGATTGCAGTGAGCTGTGATCAAGTCACTGTCCTCTGGCTTGGGCAACAGAGCACAAACCTGTCTCTAAAAAAATAAAGAATTCTCAACATAAGGTGTCCCCCCTCCCCCTGCTTTTTTTTTTTCAGTGGAAGTCTCACCATGTGGCCCAGGCTAGAGTGCAGTGGCATGATCTCAGCTCACTGCAACCTCTGCTTCCAGGGTTCAAGAGATTGTCCTGCCTTAGCCTCTCAAGTAGTTAGGATTATAGGCATGAGCCACCACACCCAACTAATTATTGCATTTTTAGTAGAGACGGGGTTTCACCATGTCAGCTAGGCTGGTTATGAACTCCTGGCCTCAAGTGATCTGCCCACCTCAACCTCCCAAAGTGCTGGGATTACAGGCATGAGCCAGTGTTCCCTCTCTTGGTAAACATTTTTATAGAACTCATCTCAATTAAAACTTAAAAAAATTCAATTATAATTCAAAATGAATCCACAAGCAACAAGCAAATGGTGCTAGTGTGTTGTTTTTGTTTTGTGGGTTTTGTTTTTTGTTTTTTTCTGAGATGGAGTCTCACCCTTTCTGCCCAGGCTGGAGTGCAGTGGCATGATCTCGGCTCACTGCAATATCCGCCTCCTGAGTTCCAGCGGTTCTCATGCCTCAGCTAGGATTACGGGCATACATCACTACACCCACCTAATTTGGTATTTTTAGTAGAGATGGGGTTTCACCATGTTGGCCAGGCTGGTATTGAACTCCTGACCTCAGGAGATCCACCTGCCTCAGCCTCCCAAAGTGCTGGGATTACAGGTGTGAGTCATCGTACACAGCCAGTGCTAGTGTAATTGGATAGCAGCAATTTGTGTATGATGTCCATAGTCACATTTTTCACCAGAACATTCCAGACTAATTCATGACTTATAAAATGTATAAAGTATATCAGTGGAATTGAATCAAGTAAATAGTTCATCAGGCTGGGCACAGTGGTTTACACCTGTAATCCCAGCACTTTGGGAGGCCAAGGCAGGTGGATCACTTGAGGTCAGAAGTTTGAGACCAGCCTGACCAACTTGGTGAAACCCCGTCTCTACTAAAAATACAAAAGTTAGATGGGCGTGGTGGTTGGCACCTGTAATCCCAGCTACTCAGGAGGCTGAGGCAGGAGAATTGCTTGAACCCGGGAGGCAGAAGTTGTAGTGAGCCAAAATCATACCACTGCACTCCAGCCTAGGCGACAAGAGCAAAACTCCATCTCAAAAAAAAAAATTAAATAGCTAATTTAATTTTATAAGGAAAACTAGAAAATAAACTGATGACAGATACAAACAGAAATTTTTCCAGTAAAGCAGTACCAACTCTAAACATACCAAAAATGTTTGCACAGAGTACTTATAGGGAAAAAATACGAATTTAAGTTTAAAGCATGCTTGAGGTTTTATGCATACTAGACTAGCAAGAAAAAAGTAGTTGGTAGCACTGTTGACAAGGCAATGACTAAAAGCATACAAAATAGGAATAAAATTGATGGCAAGCATTTTGGAAAACAGCATGGCTTTACGGGAGTGGGGGCCATATTTTAAATACATAAATTTATTATTCTTTGGACCTAAAGCCATGAATAATCTAAAGAAATTTTAAAATTAAAAATGTCTAAGGAAATTTTAAAATGATAGCATTTATGCCATGTTACAATGAATTCCTCCTTAAACTGACATAATTTACATTTTAAGCAAAATAAATGTAATAAATTCCTATTAATAAATAATTTATAATTATTATAAATAATAATAAATTCCTATTAAATAAATTTTTTTTTTAAAGACGGAGTCTTGCTTTGTCACCCAGGCTGGAGTGCAGCAGCATGATCTCGGCTCACTGCAACCTCCATCTCCTGGGTTTAAGCGATTTCCCCCCTCAGTCTCCAGAGTAGCTGGGACTACAGGCATGTGCCACCATGCCTGGCTAATTCTTTGTGTTTAAGTAGAGACAAGGTTCCACCATGGCCAGGATGTTCTCGATCTCCTGACCTCATGATCTGCCCACCTCAGCCTCCCAAAGTGCTGGGATTATAGGCGTGAGCTGGCACCCAGGCCTTACTAAATAAACTTAATAGGAAATTAAAAATGAAAGGACTTCAATTCCTTTTAACTCGTAGGCCCACCTCCAAGATTTATTCTAGGGAAATAATTCAGCAGAAGCAAACAGCTAAGCTAAGCTATGATATTAACAAAAGCTACTGTTGATTAAGTAATTACATCAAATAGTGTGCTAAGTATTTTTTATATTTTCTTTTAATTTAACTCATTTAATTCTCACAAAAACCTTATGAGTTACATTCATCCCCAGTATCAAAGCAGGAAATGGCACATTCATTGCAGCACTATACATGGCAATTAAAAATTATATCCAAGAGATTGACATAACTTCTGGACCCTTAGAATTGATGACTGGCTGTAGGGGAAAATGTATATGTTTAACAAGACAAAATGCTATGTGTAGTATGATTGAAAATGTGGGGCTGGGCGTGGTGGCTCACACTTGTAATCCCAGCACTTTGGGAGGTCAAGGTGGGTGGATCACCAAGTCAGAAGACCCCTGGATAACACAGCCTGTCAGCACTGGTGCACATCTTACCTGGGCCATTTCTACTTTGGGGCATTGCATTTCAAACTATTCTTTGCAGTAGTAGGACTATAGGTAAGCCCATTCCCAGTCTGCAGTTAAAAGAAGGATGTCAGTATATGGCAAGCCAAATGATGGGCAGTGGTAGAGGTTACCAGGAAATTCCTGTTGGCTTCTACAGGAGGCGGCACAAAATACAGACCCATTTCAGGTTCATTCATAGGGGTGCTACTGTGAGCCTGCTGATCCCCAAAGAGAGAACATTGTAGAGTACCAAAGGAACTCAAAGGACCTATAGAAGCAGGTCTGACTTAGAGTTTGGGGTCAGGACAAGCCAGATCTTCTGTCTTTTCCCTCTTCTAGGTAGGCCCATCTTCCCCAATTTTTTTTTTCTTTGTTTTGAGACAGGTCTCTCTCTTTCACCCAGGATGGAGTACAGTGGCATGATCACGGGTCACTTTAGCCTCAACCTCCCGAGTACCTGGGACTACAGGCATACACCACCACACTCAGCTAATTTTTGTGTTTCTTTGTAGAGGCGGAGGTTTTGCCATGTTGCCCAGGCTGGTCTTGAGTTTCTGGGCTCAAGCAATCCACTGTGGCTTCCCAAAGCGTTGGGATTATAGGCATGAGAGCCAAGCACAAAAGAGTGGGAGGCGATCTTGTAGGTTTCTATCTCAAAATAAGAACTATACCGTAATTTCACAGAGATTCTTGATTCTCTAGTAATTAATTAAGAGACTAGGAGCTCATAAAGATAAGAATTTTGACCACAACATTATAGAACTGTAGCTGGGCTCAGTGGCTCACACCTGTAATCCAGCACTTTGGGAGGCCCAGGCAGGTGGATTACTTGAAGTCAGGAGATCAAGACCATCCTGGCTAAGAAGATGAAACCCCGTCTCTACTAAAAATACAAAAAATTAGCCAGGTGTGGTGGCACACACCTGTAGTCCCAGCTAATCAGGAGGCTGAAGCAGGAGAATCGCTTGAACCTGAGAGGTAGAGATTGCAATGAGCCAGGATCGCACCCCTGCACTCTAGCCCTGGGCGACAGACCGAGACCCTAAGAACTGTAGGGAGTCTTCCTTCACCCAACTTTTAGGTTCCTCCTCATGGAACATGATGTTTTGGGTCATGCATGTGTAATCTGTGATTTCTTTACAGATACCTGACTCAGATGTGATACTCTGCAATTCTGTAGAGTTGATCCGTGAGCGATTGACTGTGTCTGAGGATGGACCAGGAATCAGGCACCAGGAAGAACAAAAACATGACTACGTATATGACATTTACTACTTGGAGACGGCCACTCCAGGCTGGATTGAGAACATCCTCTCCGTGCAGCCCTATAGCCAAGAGTGGGAGCTGGTAAGGGGGCCCATGAGGAGAGGGCACGAGGCATCCTCAACTCTGATTTCTCTAATCAGAATGCTTTTATTCCCTGGGCTCCACTCCTGATCATCATTGTCCTTAGTTCTTTTCCTCCTTAAAAGGAAAAATTTATTCTAAATGCCTTCTAGGAACCTGACTTTACAGCATGGGAAATTTGGGGAAAGATCATTCTTAGATTGATAATTTTTACATTAATGAATCATTTACAAGTTTGCAACATCTTTATTGTTTATAGCTATCCACTCTTGGGGGGAATTACGTGTATGAGGCTTATGATAAGATCAAGACAAGATAAAACCAGAAATTATTGATGTGAATGACAGCAAACCTATTTTTTAATTCATATCTCAGAAGTAGAGAAAACCTTGGGTGAAGAAAGCTAACGTCCTGACACTGTTATTTTATTTTCTGAGACAAGGTCTTGCTCTGTCGCCCAAGCTGGAGTGCAGTGGTGCTGAGCTCACTACAGCCTCTTTCTCCCAGGCTCAAGCTATCTTCCCATCTCAGCTTCCCAAGTAGCCAGCCAAGAGTACAGGCATGCACCACGATGCCCTAATTTTTGTTGTTTTGTAGAGAGAGGGTCTCATTATGTTGTTCACGCTCTACACCCAAGTGATCCTCCACCTTGGCCTCCCAAAATGCTAGGATTACAGGCATGATCCACTGTGATCCACCACACCTAGCTGACACCATTATCTTTTTTTTTTCTTTTTTTTTTTTGAGACAGAGTCTTGCTCTGCCACCTAGGCTAGAGTGCAGTGGCACAATCTTGGCTCACTGCAACCCCCACCTCCTGGGTTCAGCATCAGCCTTCCAAGTAGCTGGGATTACAGGTGCCCACCAGCATGCCTGGCTAATTTTTGTATTTTTAGTAGAGACAGGGTTTTACCATGTTGGCCAGGCTGGTCTCAAACTTCTGACCTCAAGTGATCTGCCCACCTTGGCCTCCCAAAGTGCTGGGATTATGGGTGTGAGCCACCACACCTGGCCTATCTTAAATTCTAAAATGATTAACAAGAAAAGTTAAGGTGGCACCTAATTATCATGTTAAGACTGAAATTGAGAAGCACTGTATCCTGCACCTGTATTAGGACACAGATTTGCAGTCAGGTACCCACCTTGGACCATTGCATGGCCCTTCCTCCTGCCTTTCTGTACCTCTTATGCTTGGGTTTTGGTTTTGACCTTGGAATTTGAAAGAGTCGCTTAGAGCCATCACTCCTCTTTTCCCTGTGTTCCCTTCTCATGGAATTCAGCCTGTCCTGCCGTTCTGGAGCTGGACTCTGAGTGAAAGGGGGCTGTTATCTCCCTCATAGCCTCATGTGTAGCAGAGTCAAACTAACTCTTGCTTTGCCTCAGCAGTTTTTTCACCTGGCACTTTTACATGACATCTCTCCAAGCTGGTATGCTTACAGCTTCCCCCAGAGCATAACCTTAGAGGTTCTGACTTGGACTCATGTTTGTGTCGAGATGTGTAGGTGAATGATGATCAAGAACCAGAGGACATTTATGAAGATGAAGATGACGAGAACAGTGAGAATAACTGGCGCAATGAGTACCCAGAGGAGGAGAGCAGTGATGGAGATGAGGATTCCAGAGGTGAGTGTCAGCTTTGGACAGGCAGGAACTGGTAAGATCTGAGACTGAGGTGCAGGCATGGTTGACAGGTGCATCTTAACTGCCTTTCCTTCTCTACCATTGAGCTCCAACAGCTCAACCGCAACGCATGCTATAGGAGGCCCAAAAACCAGTGTTTCCCATGGGCCTCCTGGGGGTGTAATAATCCTAATAATCCATCAGGCCTGGGTTCAAATCTGTATTTGTCATTACTTTGCTGTGGGTCTTGGGCCGTTACTTCACCTCACTGAGCCTCATTCTCTCTCGAGATGAGATGGTACTGCATGAATTTTAGTGGTTGAGATTATGTACAATATGTAGCTCATTGTCTCCTTCCCTACTCCAGTCAAGAAACCAATTAAGACAGAGGTTTGCCAGTAGGAGTAAGCCCAGCATTTTCACAAATCAGTTATCTAACTTCTCAAAAAACTGCTGCATGTACAACTGTTGTAAGAAAGACATAGTACCTGGGGGAAGAAGAAAGATGCCCTGACAACACAGCTCCTGTGATACCTGTGTCAGAAGAGAGAAAAGGGCTAACAAAAATAATATATTAGTGTCTGATAACAGAAATTAATCAAACAATTGAATATTCTATTGGGGAGGTTGGTCAATAATAGGTTAAGAGGGGAAAGTACAAAAATATTTACAATACGACTACAAATCTTACAACAACAACAAAATCCTATACTGAGGGGAGAAGCGATGAAATACTCTAGTATGAAGGGACTTGGTTTAGATGATAAGAAAGTAAGTGCTTTAAAAAAAAAATTCTATAGTCTTTATTTTCTTTATTGAGCAAGTATTTTGTATTACAATCGGGAACAAGAACAGACCTTTCTGAGAAGAGAAGGGGCTCCTTCGGTAGCCAAGGAAAATCACATTTAGATTCCATTCCTGGGATCTCATTCCAGGCTCTGCTGACTACAACAGCCTGAGTGAGGAGGAAAGAGGCAGCAGCAGACAGCAGATGTGGCACAAGTACCCTCTGGATGTGCAGAAGGAGTTCGGCTATGACAACCTCCATGACCTGGATTCAGACTGATGGTCTTGTGATGTCCATGAGGTTCTGCCACAAGCCTGTGAGGGCTCTGAGTCCAGGGTAAACTGCCCTGCTGACATCCTCTTAGGTTTCCTAGCTTAACATGTGGAAGAAAAGCATATCAAGCATGTTGGGCCGCACCATCCCAACACAGTGAAAACTTTTGTTAAGGGAGTGAGTCTTTTCCTACTTACAGTAGGGCCCCTTTGCCTCAATCAAAAGTAACCCTACAGTTTGAAAGAAAAAAAAATGTTATAAAAAGGACGTTTCTTTAGCTTCTTGGCCCAGGCATTTTCCTGGAATTCAGGTCAGGTTCTCCTGTGCTGAAACCACAAGGGAAAGAGAGTTTCCCATTTCATTAGCAGTAAGGTTCTGCCTTGCCATACCACCAGGCCGCCTGCCTGCCTCTAAGAAAACCCTGTTCCTTTGGATAGATAGCATCTAAGAGGGGTACCAGTGGGTCCCTTGTAGCAATACAGACTGGATAGTAATGGCCATTAGGGCAGAAAATAGTCTGTCTGAGCTGTGGAAGATTTTATATACCAACTATCTCTGCTTCCAAACTCTGATAATGGTTGTGAAATTACTGACTTTCTTTGGCAATGGTGCCAAGAAACAGTATATGTACTAATGTGATACATGTGTTTAGTAAAAGCTAGCTTTGAAAATGGAAGAAAGTAATTATTTTAAAACCTTTTAAATCTGAATATCTAAAACAGGGAGAGGGGGTAGTGAGATAGAAGTTTCAGCATTGATTATAGATACTAAGGACTTAAGAGAGGAAAAACAAAGAACTTTTCTAACTCAGCTTTCCACTGAGTAATGTTTACTCTTCACAGCACTCACCAGGAACACAAACTACTATCAACAGGGTCAATTTTGTTACAACTGTATCTCTTCTAAGCAAACTCTGTCCCTATGCCTTTCCAAACCACAGCTGCGTTCACTGAGTGCCTTGGTGTTTATTCTAGCTAGAACTATCTGTAGTGACAATACGCACTGTGTAGTAGCAGACACAGGTGGCTGCTGAGCACTTGAAATGTGATTAGCGCAACTGAGAAACTGGGCTTTTAATATTATTTCATTTTAATGTAATTAGCTACATGTGGCTAGTAGCTGTTGTAGCGGGACAGCACAGGTCTAAGGAAACAACGTTAGGGGTCAGTTAGGGGTGTGCCCTCCTAGCCTGTGACAGTGTCTCTGACTCACTATCATGGGGGAAGGTGAGTTACACAGGGAGATACCTTTTTGCCACCTCTTTTAAGATTTCCTAAGTATCTCCTCCCTCCTACCTGCTATCATTCTTTGACTTAATGTCCATTTCCTAAGCCTTTACCTACACTAGTTCTTACCTACATAGAGTTGTTAAACCTGCCAAAGTGATTAAATTCTGTGTACTCAGGCCCTATATATTGCAACTCATTAAAACAAACATCCTAGGTATGCACAAAGGAGTAATTCAACATTATAACAGGCAGCAACTTGTATGTCTCATATTAGACATCTTGCTTCTGTCTGTAGGCATAGAAACAAAGGATTGAAAACCATTCTTACATTCACAGCAACCAGGTGAAAAAAGAAAACGCTGTGGCATGATAATGTGCTCACTGCCGTTTATGTACTCATTAAGTTTTACCAACATTAAAGGGCCGGCAACTTAATAAACTGTACTCACTGCAAAAGGGATAAGCACACCAGGAGAAGGATTTAAGGAGACAGACAACAAAGAGCTGGCAGAAATTAATTCCACCATGAAGTTTGAGTGCTGTAGGGAGTCTCTGGCTTCACTCCCAAAAAGGGGATCCTGAGAGAAGTCTGTATACAGCACAGGGGGAGAATGCTGTCACCATCCAAAAATGAAAGGAGGATGACACGGCTCACTAAGCAAGTACTAGGGCACCTGGCGTGTAAGGTCCTTGCTTTTCCTAGAAGCCTGTGGGGGGCAGCAAATTCCTGGGATTAGCTGGTTATCTGGTGGAGAATGCTAAAGCCAGGGTCAGGGATCTTTTAAGGCAGGCACACTTTACTTAAAGGATTAGCTCCAAAGGAGTCCCGGGATGGGTGCCAGCTTGGCTCAGACAGAAGTCATGTTCTTAGAGTTTAGGCAAGTCAGCCTTTGCACAAGACACCCTGTCGCCAGGCAGGAATTTGCCATACAAATCCTGAACCCATGACAGTAAGAATGTCACCCCATGCTTCACATATGCAATATGCTCTGAACCCAAGGCAACTGTGACCATGCTTCCTTCAATCTTTATTGAGCAAATATATGTCCAAGGTTATTCCCTTATCTGACTGGGTGGAGAAGAATGGTCAGAAAGGGAGACTGCCTCACTTTGACCAATTCTAAAACCTAAGGATAAGAAGCCCATGAGGTGTGTCAAGCTAGCAGGTTCTTCTGGGCCCCGGATGACAGCGTCTGGCAGCATCACCAAACAGTTGTACAATCCACTGCAGCTGTACTGCTCATAGAGTAAGATCCATTAGGCCAGAGCAGGCCTGACTTGGGTGGAGAGCCCAGCCTGAGCACCAGAATTAGTTGCCTGCACTTGTGCAGCCTGCTGAGGAGCCAGACTGAGGTTGAAGCAGCTTTCCTCCCAGTCTTCACTGATCTCCACAGGGAGAAAATAGAAGTCCCCACAAGTACCAAGCTCTTCCTGAGACTGCAGCCCACCACACCTTGGGGAAAGGGAGGCTGGCAGGAGAGGAGTGCACTGTCCTGGTGACCCACACCAAGGCGGCTCCAAGTGTAAACAAAGCCTGGTGCCAGGGACAGAAGAGGAGGACGCAGCCTGATGTGAGGTTTTCAGAAAAATGACCTAGCACCAGGGTGGGCTTGCTTGGGTCTGCACAGCAGTCCCTCGCACTGCCCTTACAGAGGGGAACAGGTTATTTGATGACTTGAGCCCATGAGATGTTCTCCAAGTCATTGACAGCTGAAAGAATTCACCTAAATTCTGTTAAGTTTCAGCCCTCTTAAAGTTTGTAACAGAAACCCAGAGATTTACTATCAGCTAGAACAAAGACACAAGGTCTTAAGTAAAATAAAGGATTATCCTTCAAAAACAGCAGTATTAACAGACTTCTGACTCATGAATTTGTTCATCTGTCCTTGCTGGACCTGAGCCAGGTGCTTGTAATGTGACCTACTTATATACTAAAGTATAACTGGTACATGAGTAAAAAAATCTTTAAAGTTCATTGTTGCAGGTAAGACTCAATAGAAGATAGTGCTAACCGGTATAAAATTGTGGTCAGAGTCTGATCCAACACCACAAAGAGGTGGTGCTTTCTGAGAGCAGAGGGACTCAGTTTTGGGTGCTTTGAATTTTAAATATAATCAGCCTATTGCATCCTATAGATGAAAAGACACTCATGCTTCATTAGAACTGGTGTTCTGGACTAAATATCAATAAATAATGGAATATAACTCTCTCCCCAGGGAAGAATTTTGAGCCAGAGGAAGAAATGGTAGCATTTCAGGCCTTTAAAGTCAGGTCAGAGGAAAACTTCCTGTAAAGCAGCCCCTCTATAGGGACTCCTACTTCAAATCTCAAATACCAAATTCAGAAGCCACCAGTCCTATCAACCTAGCATTCCCTCTTCCCCACTGCATCTTACCAAGTAAATATCTGTAAGAGCTGCATCTACCCATCTGGAGTAAAACTAAATGACCATTCCCCTGTTCCCCAATCTTCCCCCACCCTCTGAAGTCCCCACCTTGAAGTTGGACCAGATCCTGAGTCTCCTCCTATAGCTTACCAATAAGAGCGAGCACTGGCCCTGAGCCCAGTTATATGATGTGGGTCAAAAGGCTCCTTTAATTCAGGAGAGTTGAGCCCACAGAGTCTTGTATTCAGGATTTTGGTGGCTGTGGCCATAGGTGGCCCTCAGAGAGCTACCTCTGACCTCTAGTCAGTTTTCCTCTCAGCCTTTTCCTCTTCAGCTACATCAAGCTCAGTCAGGACACAAAAGCAAAGCTGCTGGGTGCTTCTGGTGATAGCAGCTAAATGAAAATAGAGAAGCACAGGATTTAGTAAACATCTAGCTACAGCCCCAACCTGAACATAAGGCTGACTAGTAACATCTAATGCTCCCTCCCACCTGCCCCTTAGGTAGCCTGTACCAGGTTTTGCCCCTCTCTCCCAACAAGCCTCATCATCCTCTGTCCCATGCCCAATCAGAGTCTGATGCATGGCCCATCTTTCCAGGTGACTTGTGTTGTCAGGAGGTAATGTTTTAGCCCCAAAATAGGACACTGAAATTAGAACTGAAGTGATTGTGTCAAAATCAAAAGGGAAGTCATGGACAGCTGAGTCTCATGGCCTCCAGCAAATTCTGATATGGGAAAGCTGTTAGCCACCCCCCATCTTTGCATGCCCATGTACACACAGCCGCCAGTTAGTAAAGTGGCAAAGAGAGGCTCACCCAGGACATTCCGAATAAACAGTGGCCTCCGGGACTCTGGCAGGTAAACACCCAGGAAGTAGAAAGGGACTCCTGAAAGGGCAATCCCAATGCCGATGAGGGAATTAATGGTGTCACTGAAGAGGGGCACTATCACCAGAAATACGGAGCATATGCAGAACACGATGGGGAAAAACAGGCTCAGCTGAAATAGAGGAGGTGAGATACTAAGTAACATGAGAAGAGGAAACAAGTCATAGGCAAGAAGGCACCTTAGGGAGATGGCCCACCCCTCCTAGTCTGCCCAGAGCTGCTGACCTTGAGAGGCCGGGGCCGCTCAGGCTCCTTCCAGCGAAGGTACAGCTGTCCAACAACAGACAGGCCCACGAAGAACCAGTAGCTGAAGCTGAAGTAGTTGATGAGCTGGAAAACATCCTCCACGATGAGGTAGATGAGTGTCATGGTACACTGCAGAGGAAAGGGGTCAGGAGGCAGGGAGCATCATCACCACTTGTGCCCCCAGGAGACTTCCCCACCGAGCAGTCAGTGCTAAATCTGATGCCACTTCACCAGATTACCTTTGGCTCTTTTTATTGACCCCTTGGCATCAGATAAGTCCATTCCTTGATGGACCTTGAGGTACATTAACCCTCAAGGTAGCATCTTTCCTCTTCTGTTGCAGCCCTTCCTCCACATAATGCCTCCCCCTTGTTGCAAGCACTGTAGAAAAGCAGGCGTTGAGGCCCTCTTCAGTGCACCAACCTTAACATGGATCATACTGTGTCCTAGAGAGGGCTCAGACCTGGGTCCCAACTCCTGGCATACAAGTGGGGCAAACACCTTCAGAACCATCTCACTGTCCTGGGGCCTGAGAAATACTAACTAGCAAAATGGATCCATATCCTTCTGGCCTAAATAATGTCGATAAATAAGGCTGTACTCTTTCCCCAAGGGAGAATTTTGAGACAGAGGAAGAAATTACAGCGTTTGAGGCCTCTAAAGTCAGGTGTTGAACCTGAAAACTAGCAAAATAGATCCATTCAGATATATGACAGAATTAGCCTCTGGAACAAAAGAATCCTAGAAGACAAGGATCAGGGCCTAGAGTCCTGGGACAAGGTCAAATGTGTTTAAATTTCAATAATCTCTTCATTAAAATTATCAACAAAGGATTTAAAACAAGAAGAGCCCCTTCTGTGGAGATAAGGGAGGACCCTATATTAAGAAGAGAAGCCTGGGCATGGTGGCTAGTGCCTATAATCTCAGAACTTTGGGAGACCAAAGTAGCAGCTCACTGGAGCCCAGGAGCTCAAGACCAAGCCTGGGCAACATAGTGAGACCTCATCTGTACAAAAAATAAATTAGCCAGCTTTGGTAGTACATGCCTGTAGTTAGATAACCTCTTAAATTTATAATTCAATGCTGGCCCTATCAAAATATTAAGAGGATTTTTCTGTTATTTTGATGAAATGATAGAAAAGTGCATCAAAACAAACAAATGTGAGAATTGCTGGGAAAATTCCAAGGGTGGGAGGACTAACGAAGTACCTTTGGTCCCTCTTTAGTTATCAGATAGTCAGTATAAAGCTAAACTAAGGAGGCTTGGTGCTGATGGGGAGGATTAGCTGAGATTATACATTTAAGGAGCATACAATTATAATTGGCACATATTGAGCACCCTAAAAAATTAGCTATTATTACTTTTCTATGATAAAAGTTTGAAAACTATGGAAAAATTGATTACTCAATAAATGATATTGGGTATACCTGGCTGCCATTTGAGAAAAAGTTAATCCCCATCTCCCTCAATACTATGCTATAATATAAATTCCAGATAAATCCAAAATTTACACTTAAAACCATAAAAGAACTAAATGACAACAAAAAATGAACTGTTCTTCAAATCTTAAGAGTAAGGCCTTTCTTAGAATCCCTCTTACATAACAACTTAGCACAAATCAGAAGGAGCAATGCACAGATCTGCCTGAGCCCCGTGGTCCCCAGCAAAGCTTACATTGAACAATAAAGCAGGGATAGGTGTAAAACGTTCAATGTGGATCATGGACAGAAGGTCCGGGAGGTGGCCCTCACGGGAGCCCACGAAGAACAACCTAGAAGGAAGAGAAATGTGTCAGCAGATCCTTTTACTCAGCTATACGGCCACACTCCTCATGTGGACAAACTTGGCTTAGCGCCCCCAAGGAAAGCAGGATGCAGCCTCCCAGGAACATCCCAGATCCTTAGTGTATCACCAGTCCAACCTCCCTGCTACCCACTTTCCCAGACTTTCCCTTCCTCTTCATCCCCAGGCACCTCACCACTACCCACATGCCCCACCCACCATTATCCACTGACTACCCAAACCGTCAGCTATGGAACCCACCATCACCCAGACATCTTCTCTCAACCACAGATGCCTCACCAACATCCAACAGATGCCCCATCCTGCTGTGACCCACTAACAGATTCACCCAATCCATGCCACGGATTCATAGCTAACATAATGGCTTTTAAAGGACAGCTAGATTTCCATTCATGCCCTCCATATATCTTCCCTGAACTGGTGTATGATAGGCCAGGGCAAGACTGAGGGTCAAAGAGACAACCCAGGCTTCCTTTCTACACCTAAAGAGCTTTACCAACTGGGAAAAAGACTGGCACAGAAATGACCTCCCACCCAGTGTGGTCAGCATCATCTTGGGAGTGCATGGCACTCACTTGCTAGGCTTGAGAGCAGGTTGGGGGACCAAAATGCTTTGTAAGAGAAGAGATGCAAAGAAGAGTTGCCAGAAGCAAGTCAGTAGATGGAGAAAAATAAGCATGCACAGAGGCAAACTGTGTGGAGGCATGAAAGAGCATGGCCTCATTGGAGGTTGATGTAAAATGCCTAGAGCACCAGGACAAGCTGTATGAGAAGAGGGTGCTGGGAAGAACCTGCATACAAGGCCATGCTGTGGAGTCTGAACAAACACTGAGAGCTAGCTGTGGCTTTAAGGTAAGGGCTTGACAGGATCTGACATCAGATTCTGGAGACCAAAGGCTAGACAAGAAGTCTATCACAACTAGGCTGAGCAGAGGGAAGATGACACGACTTTTTTCTTTTTGAGACAGAGTCTTGCTCTGTCACCCAGGCTGGAGTGCAGTGGCACAATCTCAGCTCACTGCAACCTCCGCCTCCTGGGTTCAAACAATTCTCTTGTCTCAGCCTCCCAAGTGGCTGGGACTACAAGCATATGACACCACACCTAGCTAAATTTTTTTGTATTTTTAATAGAAACGGGGTTTCATCATACTGGCCAGGCTGGTTTCGAACTCCTGTCCTCAGGTGATCCTCCTGCCTTGGCCTCCCAAGATGCTGGAATTACAGGCATGAGCCACCGTGCCCAGCGACACTATGTTCTTTTATAAGGTCTTGACTTCTCTAATTCTTTGGTTGCCCCAGGAGGCACAATACCTGCACTGGCGTGTGAAAACCAGTAAAAAGAATGAATGGGACAAAACTATTTCTTTTATTTTTCATTCTTCTATGTGTTCCTGTGGCAAATATTTATTGGATGACTATTATACCCCTAGCCCTGGGGACAATACCAGTTATAGGGTGAGTAGAAGAGAAATCAGGAAAGAAACTTTCTTAGGTATCTTATGTCACAGAAGCCATAGGAATCGTTTCAGACTTGGAAAGTGATCAGCATCACTTGCTTCAAAGGTCCAATAGGATGAAGACTAAAGACAGGCTAAGAAAGAGATAGTCTTAACAAGAATATTTTTCAGAGAATAGAAGCCAAACTGTAACAGATGGGAAAATGAATGAAAGGTGAAGTGCAGACTGCTGTCTCACAGGTGCATCCAGGGCCAGGCATGGTGGTGCATGCCTTTAATCCCAGCTACTCAGGAGGCTAAGGTGGGAGATCATTTGAGGCCAGGAGTTTGAGACCAGCCTAGGCAACATAGTGAGACCCAATCTCTAAAAAGAATTAATTTAAAAATAAAAAGAAGAGCCGGGTGCGTGGCTCATGCCTGTAATCCCAGCACTTTGGGAGGCCGAGGCGGGTGGATCATGAGGTCAAGAGATCGAGACCATCCTGGTCAACATGGTGAAACCCCGTCTCTACTAAAAATACAAAAAAATTAGCTGGGCATGGTGACGTGTGCCTGCAATCCCAGCTACTCAGGAGGCTGAGGCAGGAGAATTGCCTGAACCCAGGAGGCGGAGGTTGCGGTGAGCCGAGATTGCGCCATTGCACTCCAGCCTGGGTAACAAGAGCGAAACTCCATCTCAAAAAATAAATAAATAAATAAATAAAAAGAAGTGCATCTAGTAAGTGGGAAGAGGGTAGATGGGAAAAGCTATTTTGTGACTCTCCTGAGTGGAGAGGAGAGAAGCTCATGGAGAGCTGGCTCCAAGAAAGCACCTGCCAAAGAGAAGGGCCAACTGATGGAGCAAACTGCTAAAGAAGAGAAATGCTAGAACCCTGAGCCCAGGTAGCAGATACTCCCAGTAGAGGCACACCTGCTTCTTCCTCTGCAACAATAGGAAGGATCAGCGTGCTTAATGATAAGTCTGCACAGAAAGGAGATCAGGCAACCTGACGGCCTTGGCATTTTCTGTGAAGTGAGGGGGAAAGTCTTTCTGTACATAGTACCAATACTTGATACACAGCAAGTGCTGTTACTATTTACTGAAGGAATGAATCCTGGAGCTACAGCATAACCCACAAGGAGCCTAGAATCTAGTCCCTGCTGGAATCACCCCTCCAAGCTATTGCCTTTCTCCCCTATACCTCTTATCAATCTGTTCTCATCTCAGATGGAAACATGAGCTACCAATATGTAAACATGAGCTGCCAGCACATAAACATGAGCTATCAGCATACAATTTGCCCTTTTCTCAGACAGAAACATGAGCTACCAGCATATAAATGTGCTACTTGAACAAAGGCAAGTATATGCAAACACACACAAACACACACACCTGTATGTGTACGAGAAGGAGGGCAAAAAGGAGCTCTTATGCCTCAGCGTGCATGCACGCACACACACACACACACACACACACACACACACACCCCTATACGCCCATGAGAAGAAGGAGGGAAAAAAGGAGCTCTTATGCCTAAGCCCCAGAGAATGAAATATTGTGATCTATTATCAGTGACACAGAGGCACGGTACCTTGATGAAGCAAAGATCGATGCATTGAGGCCCCCAAAACAGGATAGGGCAACAGCAATGGGGATGATCCAGCTGAACATGCCAAATGTCTGGTCAGCAAATGTCTGTGGGCAGGGCACAGAAGAAGCACTTAAACAGGACAGGGTTTCATAATCCTCCTGCATCTGTGACCTTGGAACAAATGCAATCTCTGCTAAGCAGCCCACCCACCCTCTGGCTTAGACTCGTGACCTGATCCTGTAGAGCTGAGGAGGTCGCAGGAAGAGAGACTGAACTGTGCAGGGTGACTGCATATCATGAGATGATGAACAAATGGGGATCCAAAGAGACTCACCACAGCCACGGCATCACTGCTAAGGACATCTGAAATGTTCAGCACTGTGTAATAGGCCACATTGGTCAGGATGTAGATGAGCGTCACAATTGGCATAGATATCCCAATGGCCAAGGGCAAATTTCTGTCAGGACAAGTGAGAAAGGACTATCTAGAACCAACCTCTCCTTGGGCACAAAATTTATCAAGTTTCCACTGGGACTGTCCTAACATTTAACAATTCACTGGCCTCCAAGTCTTTGAGGCAGGCTCACCTTCCCCTTCACCCTGAGCTCTTTTTACTGAGAAAGACAGAGAACTTTCTCTGTGAAGATAGCTCATGATCAATATTTGATCTCTGCCACAGTAGGGCCAATGGGTCCCACTGCATTTCATAATCCTCCTGCATCTATGATCTCAGAGGGACAGTGTACTCTGGGGACCAGAGGCCAAGTTGGGGATCCAGCTGGCCAGAGTAAGTTTTGGTTCTGTGGGCTATAACATCAGCAGCAGAGTGCAAGGTCCTAATCCCTTAGCCCCAGCTGGGCCTGCTCCTCCCCACTGAAGGGCCTCTCCTCTAGGAAGGACCCTGTGTATCCTCCAGTGTGAACATGAGGACAGGGAACCGAGGGGCTTTCCCACCTTCACTCACTCCCATTCTAGCCCTCAGCCCCTACTAACTGGAGAAGGTGGACTAGGGAGAAGGGGGAAGAGAGATGGAGGGAGAAGGAGAAGGATGAGGGCAGGCACACCCACTATCAGCAAGAGTTCCAGCTGAGCTGGGGAGTGAGAGTGTGATCCGGCCTTTACCTTTCTGGGTTTTTGATTTCTTCTGTTACAAAATTAAGGGTGTCCCAACCTGAGTAAGAGAAGAGGGCAGAGTAGAGGGCAAGAGAGAGGTTTCCCATGTCCCAGGAGGAACCCTCAAAGGCATCCTGAAAGTGCTCAGAGTGTCCTATGGGGGCAAAGGCAGGTACGGGGTTCAGGCAGAAGGAACAGGTCAAAGGAGAAAGGAGGAGGAGGTGGGAGGTGTAAGAGAAAGGTACAAAAGGAAAATAGGAAAGAAGAAGGGAAGATGAAAAAAAGGAGGGATGAGGAGGAACAAGAAAAGAAGAAAAGAAGGCAGGGGAAAGAAAAAAAAACATAATTTAACACCAAAAGATCAACAACCACTAGCTCCCTGCACTTTACCACCCCACCCACTTCCTCAGAAAAGTTCACATTGCTTTAAAAAACTAGACAATAAAAAACCAAAGACATTCCTTGCCGCCCTCTGATATGACAATACTTCTTCCAAAACCTTAAAGAATTTCCATTTCCTGCAAGTGATCTCACAGCAAGCCCCAGCTCTTCTACCTATTTTTATAAAGAACAGCGTTTCACATGAAGGAGTCGTTTTTCATTGAAAATTAGACCTTCCTATGAAGTACCTCTCTTGGGCCAGACTACTGCACAATTTGGTCAAATGGGTTTATCGACCTTGTGGGATGGACTCCCTGCTGCTCTACTTCCAGTGGCTGTGGTTGCATGGGGGAGATTACATGCTATAGAGGAACTTTATCTTTCACTAGGCCTGGGCCACCCCCACCCTTTGGGGAGCCAGCCCAGGCCCAGATACCTGTCATTCTCCTCAGAGACTGCACACCTAAAAGGCCAGGGGACAGCACCCAGCTACCCAGGACAGAGACCTTGTGGACACACTGGGGTCTTTAACAAGACCCAGACTTCTAAGGAACCCCATTGTCACACACTGAAGAAAGCCTAGACCCAGCTCTCATGTGGTAAAAAGAGCTGGCTATGCAGCAAGAGAAGGGAAAATAGAGACCCCCTGACCTCAGGGGTTTCCATCCTCATATGCAGCAGTGATTCCCTAAGGAACAGATCTCCAGGGGAGGATTACTCAAAACCCAATTTGACCCGAAGATTCTCCCGAGCCTCTGGGAACATCCACGTGGTTAGCTCTACTAACTTGATATAAGTACACACAGGGGCTAAACCAGCAGTCTGAGAATCAACTAGGGCAATTCTATTTTTCTTTTCTTTTCTTTTCTTTATTTATTTTTTTTGAGATGGAGTTTCACTCTTAATGCCCAGGCTGGAGTGTAGTGACACCATCTCCACTCACTGCAACCTCCACCACCAGAGTTCAAGTGATTCTCCTGCCTCAGTCTCCCAAGTAGCTGGGATTACAGGCGCCCACCACCACGCCCAGCTAATTTTTGTATTTTTAGTAGAGACGAGGCTGGTCTTGAACTCCTGACCTCGTGATCTACCTGCCTCAGCCTCCCAAAGTGCTGGGATTACAGGCGTGAGCCACCGTGCTTGGCCAAGGGCAATTCTTAAAAGCCCAGATTTTTCGACTCCAAACCAACTAGAATATGATCCAACAGATTTGAGATTAGGGTCTCAATTCCCCAGGTGATTGTACACGGCCACATTTAGGGACTGATGAAATGACTGAGGTAGCTTTGGCTAAAGACACCTCAAGACATCTCTAGGGCTCATGACATATTGGTAGGCCTATTACCCTTACTGCCAGTCCTCTCTGATCCAGGAACAAAAAGCTTTCTAAAGCCAACATGCAGGAAAGACACTGCCAATTTCACAATATTTTAATATTTTTCTGAAAGCTGACTTTGGAGTGGGGGGAATGTTGAATACAAGTCCAGATGGAAAGTAAAGGCTGCAAACTAACCACCCATTTCCATACCCTACCTCCTGCTCCACACTCCCTGCTAGCTGTCTCAAGGAGGGCCCAGTCTTCCTACTTGCAGCTTGGCAGTCACAGACCACAAATAAGAGCCACTCTATCCCCACAGATTACTTTTATGACCAATCATGACCCAAGCTGCAGGAGCTCCTAGGCCCTTGGCTGGCTTCCTGCAATGCTCCCAGCCTCCACAAAAGGAAAGCAGCCTTGAGGGAGAGGCTGACTCATGTCCACTTGGCCAAACCAGCCTGGCCCAAGAAGCCCAGAAAGAAATCTACTCCCGTCTCTTGCACTCACTGACACATGCTAGCATGTACATAGAATCAGCTAAGCAATGAAGCTAACAGAGTACCCATGTCCTCCTCAGGGAATCCAGAGGAACTTTTGGTGGTACCCCTGTTCCCACCACTTACCCTGGCACAGTTTAACAAGGCCCATGACAATGATGGCAATGAGCGCTAGGACCTTGGCGTAAGTGAACGCATCCTGCACACGTGTGCCCCACTTGACATAGGCACAGTTCACAAATGTCAGCAGACCTAGAAGGAAAACCACAAAGTCACTGGCAGGCTTGAGTTGAGGGGCCCCACCTCTTTACAGAAAGCACCACTTTCTGCACTTTCTGTCTAAGGCAAAGGGGCCAATGGACCAGTCAGAACAAGGTAAACTGGCAAGCAAGGGGACAACCTGCACCTGCCCCAGCTGACAGCACACATGCACGTCCCATCACTGCTAACGTTCAAAAATACAAAGGCATGCATGAACACATATTTATACATCCTGATGGCCGGCACCATTTCTGGAAATCCCCTCCAGGCCTAGAGATAGGTAACTTCACCCACTCTTTCCCACCCAGGCTCCCAACGTTCCAAACCACAAGAGACACAAAACCTCTCCACGGCCAAAAGAAACTCATCAGTAAGTGAGGTAAATTTGAATGCAGATGGCAGGTTACATAAAAAATTAGAGAGAGAGTGTTTTGCATGTAAGTGTAAAAAAGAGGCCAGGTGCAGTGGCTCAGACCTGTAATCCCAGCACTTTGGGAAACTGAGGCAGATGGACCACTCGAGCCCAGGAGCTCGAGACCCAAGCCTGGGCAACACGGAGAAATCCTGCCACTAGAAAAAGTACAAAAATTAGCTGGGCATGGTGGTGCACACCTGTAGTCTCAGCTACTCAGAAGGCTGAGGTGGGAGGGTCTCTTGAGCCTAGGAGGTTGAGGCTGCAGTGAGCCGTGCACTCCAGCCTGGATGACAGAGTAAGACCCTGTCTCAAAAAAAAAATAATAAGAATGCCTGTAATCCAAGCACTTTGGATGCCAAGGCAGGCAGATCACCTGAGGGCAGGAGTTCAAGACCTGCCTGACCAACATGGTGAAACCCCATCTTTAGACTAAAAAATTTAAAAAAAAATTTTATATAAAGAAATAAAAATATATAATAAAAAAATAAGAAAGAAAGAAAAAAGAAAAAGTCTGTTCTATGCCTGACAACTTCACATACACATCTCCATCAATTCTCACGACCACAAAATACACATATTCCTATTCTCATTTTATAGATGAGGAAACCAAGGCTGAGAGAAGCTAACTACCATTTCTAAGTTCATATTCCCAAGTCCACTGATTGCTGCCACCCTCATTCCTACCCATACGTCCCAATTCTCAATGAGTCCATGGAGAAGTTCACCCACTTGAGCATTTCCTAGGCTCATGTGGCCTTAAATTCTAGCCCCTGACACACCTCAGTGACATCTGGGCCCTGTGCTGAGAGCCCCAGCACCTTGCTCCTGCTAAACAATGACTGCTCTCATCCATGGGGAGGACATAAGAACAATATCCAGTAGGAAGGAACACGGTGACAAATGTAAGTACTGCCTCTAGCATCCAAAAATAGAACTTTTATGTGCACCTCAAATCTTATCACAGAATCTTTCGGTCCCATCCTCTAAGCCAACTCCACTTACTCCTACCCATTTTGCACTCTCTCCTTCAGCCAGACTCTCCCTTTTATTCATACCAGACATACACATAAAAGAAATGTACTCCCCTCCTCTTCCTGCCATAGCCAACAACAACTCCCATTTTCAAGGTCTAGTTCAGCCCCTGCTTCCTCTTCCTCTGTAAAACCTTCTCTAGCTCTTTCTCTTTCTGAACCACATGGCATTCCTGCTTCTTACCACAGCTTAGTGTCTATGCTATTGTCATGGAGACACTGGTCTCAAGTCTCTCCCCTCAGATGACTGGGTCATGCTTCTCCCAAGATCACAAATTCTCAGAAAGCAACAGCAATATATCATTTTCTTTTCTTTTCTTTCCTTCCTTCCTTCGTTTTCTTTTTTTTCCTTTTCTTTGAGATAGGGTCTTCCTCTGTCACCCAGGCTGGAGTACAGTGGCACAATCATGCTCGATCTCCAGGGCTCAAGTGATCCTCCTACCTTGGCCTCCTATTAGCTGGGACCACAGGTGCACACCACCACACCCAGCTAATTTTTTAAAAATTATTTTGTAGAGACAGGGGTCTCCCTATATTGCCCAGGCTGGTCTGGAACTCCTGGGCTCAAGCGATCCTCCTGACTCAGCCTCCCAAAGTACTAGGATTATGGGCATGAGCCACTGCACCTAGCTATATTGTAAGCTCATCACCAAGCAAAGAGGGACACTAATAAACCCTGGTTGGAACCAAGGTGGTAAGATTTTCACTCTAACTTCCAATTCCCTGGGGCAAGGCAAGTTGTCAGAAAGTTGGATATTCTTCCACTCAAATGGAGTGCCTACAGCCAGATTGTGAAAATGAACACAGCGGGCAGGTGGCAGGCTCAATGGCTTGAAAGAGCTTTCACTGAATACACTGGCAAATAACACAGATGCTTACTAGTCAATCATGATGTTGGAGTAGGGAGACAGTGGTCAAATGGGAGGGAAGAAGAAGCCCAAAGGAATGCATGCTGCTGACACGTCTTCCCGGAAACCTACCCTGATGATCAAAGCTACCTGTATGGGGTTAAGCCTCGATCAGCTAACATAAAGGTTACCTAGTTAACATAAAGATTACCTAGTTAACAGTAATCCATAGACCCCTCTACAGTACAGTAGCCATGTTTTAAGGTACCTCCCTAACTCCTTCCTGGGAATTGTTTCCCCTTCCCTATCATGGTTGATGGAGCCAGACTGACCCAAGTTGATCCTGTTATATTGCCTCTCCCAGAAACAAAGAGTTGGAATACCAAGAAACTGAATCTAACAGTAATGGAAAGAAGGGTCAGGGGCTACAGCAAGTCAAAGTCACAAACAAGCCCTTAGTAACAAAGGGACAGAAACTATAAGTAAGCAGAGGAAGGAAGTGGGACCACAAAAAGAAGCAGAAGTGAGAGGGCATGCAGGTTGAACAGACAGACTGACAGGGTGGGGGCCGCGGTGCACACCTGGAGTCCCAACTGCATGGGAGGCTGAGGTGGAAGAACTGCTGAGCCCAGAGTCCGGGCCTACAGTGCACTTTAATAGCATCTCTGAATAGTCACTGCACTCCAGTCAGGGCTACAGAGTGAGAACTTGCCTCTAAAAAAAACAACAACAAAAAAAGGAAGACAAGAAAATAGAAGACAGAATCAGGGGGGTGAGAGAGAGACAAGGAGGCAGAGACAGAGAGAAGGGGACAAAAAGAGACACAAAAAGATGGAAATACACATAGAAAAAGAGATCGTCTGACAATATCCTGGCAGTGCTAACTGTGCTTCTTGTTTGCAGCTCTAAGAAGGGGAAGAGAAGCTGATAGACTCCTCAGACCCACTAACAGGCACTGGGTCTCACTTCTGCTCCTTCTCCTTCCCTCTATCCTGCCATACATGTCCTATATGTTTGGTCCTCTCTGCACACAGGTAAATATTACACACAGTGGAAATGCAACGACTATGTGCTAACCTTGAATGAAGGTAGCTGCTTGTGGAAGTCCCTGCAGAGTCCATTCCAACAGACCAGCTGGAAGGATGCAAAAGCCCCTGGTCAGAGTGGTTCCTCACCAGAAAAAGCCTAAAGCTGTGGAAAGGGAGGGAGACTTTTTCCACTGTGTGCCCTTATGACTGGTTTACTGTGAACATAACACATCTTTCTAGATAAAAATAAAAATAGTTTGTGCTTACTTCAGCAGCACATCTGCTAAAATTGGAACCATACAGAGAAGATTAGCATGGCCCCTGAAAAAATTTTTAAAGAATTTTTTTAAATAAAAATAGTTCATTAGCAACAATGTAGCACCAGAAGGCAGAGCCAGGGCAGGGTGAAGCTAGGAGGTGCCTAAGGCACAAAATTTAAGGAGGCAGTCACTCTCAGGGGACTACAGGAAGGAACCTGAGAGTGAATACGCTCTGCAATGCTGGCCCCAGGCACCTCGCTTGCCTCACCCTACTCTCAGCCCTGCCAGAGAACAGAGAGCCCCTAGAACAGTCTATCAAGCAGAAGCCAATTCCCTTGACTGTTCTCCTGATTCCAATTAAGAAACAAAATTTCACCATCTGATCCTACCTCCTCTATTGCTTCCCAGAATTTGCAGCCCCTCTAGCTTACCATCAGAGTTCAAACAAAGTCAAACTGGGCCTTTAAGCCAGATGCTAAGATTCAACTACCACAATTAAAATGTCCTAGCCTTCCCTCTTCTCCTGGTCTCATTTCCTTGCTGGATAAGCCTGCACCAATGAGCCTGGGACCCACGTGAGGGTCTTCAAGGCTCTCTGGGAGCTTATTGCTGAGAAAGGAGTACTCAAATCGCAGATCCAGACTGAAAGCCAAAGCAGAAACAAATACCCAAAGTTGTAGGGATCTGTCCTGCAGACCTTGACTCAATAATGGATGAATAAATTCACTCAAACACAGAATACAGTGAAAGAGCAGGCTGGGGTGTCTGGGCCATTCACCTAAAGGAGTTATCAACAGCTGACCCTGACTTCTTGGCCTTCTTGGCCTTTATTCAGCACACATTAAATGACAAGAGCTTTGAGTTAACACCACTAGAGGGTAAAGATTAAAGGCCAGGTTGTGAGGCCTAAAGCAAACACCATTTGCCAATCACCCCAGTAGGAAGCAGTTAAGCACCTACAGTAGAAAAAGGTTAGTCTTAGGACCATATGAGTAAACAAGTTAGTTAGATAAACAAACTAATGTGAGGACATTTTTTAGTTTCTACTCCAATTTATTTAACTAAGGGGACAAGACAAGTACTATAATAAAAACTCTCAGGCCTTCTAAAAGGGTTTGTGTATATTCTCTATAACTAAAATTTCTCCTACCAGCCTGACCAAATCCCCACACAGTCTCTGTGGCAGAGACAGCTAGTTATCTTCCTCAATCTGTTCTTCCCTTTTTCCTTCATAACAGAAATTTTAGCTGAACTCATGGCTGTCCAAAATAAAGCTGACATTTCCCAGCCTCTCCTGCAGGTAGGTATGGACATGTACGTTTTCCCCTGGGATATATGCAAATATTTCATATAAGACCTCAGGAGGCCAGACACAGTGGCTCATGCCTATAATCCCAGCACTTTTGGAG